ACTGAAGATGACAAACAATTTACAGGTAAGTTAAAATTTAGGCCGGGCGCTGTGGCTCACGCCTGTAATCCTAGCTCTTGGGAGGCCGAGGCGGGGCGGATTGCTCAAGGTCAGGAGTTCAAAACCAGCCTGAGCAAGAGTGAGACCCGTCTCTACTATAAATAGAAGAAATTAATTGGCCAACTGATATATATATAAAATTAGCCGGCATGGTGGCGCATGCCTGTAGTCCCAGCTACTCGGAGGCTGAGGCAGGAGGATCGCTTGAGCCCAGAGTTGAGGTTGCGTGAGCTAGGCTGACGCCACGGCACTCACTCTAGCCTGGACAACAAAGTGAGACTCTGTCTCAAAAAAAAAAAAAAAAAAAAATTTTAAATGTATCGTTCAAACTTCACAAACCAAATAAGCATAAAGAAATTTAAACAGTTGAACTTTATTATTTATTTTTTTCTTTTGAGACAGAGTCTCACTCTGTTGCCCAGGCTACAGTGCCATGGCGCCAGCCTAACTCATAGCAACCTCCAACTCCTGGGCTCAAGCGATCTCCTGCCTCAGCCCCGAGTAGCTGGACTACAGGCATGCGCCACCATGCCGGCTAGTTTTTCTATATATTTTTAGTTGGCCATTAATTTCTTTCTATTTTAGTGGAGACGAGGTCTCGCTCTTTGCTTAGGCTGGTTTCGAACTCCTGAGTTTAAGCAATCGCCCGCCCGGCCTCCCAGAGTGCTAGGATGACAGGCGTGAGCCACCGCACCCGCCTAAACAGTTGAACTTTAAATGATTTTTTGCAGCATTTATCCTTCTGAAGTTATCAAAGCTGCACTGAGATTTTTGGGACACCCTGTTTTTAACTCATCTCATCCTTATCACAACTATGACAGGCAATATTATTGCCCCGGTTTTAAAGATGGGGAAACTGAGGCACCGTCCCACAGCTGGTCTCAGTCTAGCAACAGCGTCCTATGCTAATACTGTCCCGGAGACCCAGGGCCACGCCAGCAACGCGCGGAACCATCCATGCTCCCCCAGGCTCTGCAGTGAAGTACAAACTGCAGCGGTAGATGACCCCAACAGCAAACCTTGCCCATCCACTCCAGGTGCCATGTACCTGCGACTCACCAAGCTTCGCGCACTGGGGTAGGGGGCAACCGAGACACTGGGGTTGGGGGAGCAGCCAGGCCTGGGGGGCAGCCTCTGCCAGAGCTCTTCAGCCAGGAAGGGCATTAGCGGGGCGAGGAGGCGGAGGCCGAGGTCGGCGCAGAGGAACAGGACCTGAGGGGGTCCCAGGGCACGGGGCGCGTGCCGTAGCTGGGGCTTCACAGCCTCCTGTGCAGGAAGCCACCAGGTCAGAAGATGGGCCCACGGCCACACCCATCCCCCACAGCCTCTGCAGCCCTGCGGGCGGAGGGTGCTGTGCGTCCTGGGAGGGAGGGGCGGGCAGAAGCACTCAGCGCCCTGCCGCCATCACCGCCCCAGGACACACCCTGCAGCGTGTGAGGAGGGGAGTCCAGGGTGGCGGTGGGCGAGAATGGATTTCTAGGGAGAAGTCTAGTTTGGAAAAAAAAGATCGAGTTTTTTTACTTATCAAAAGGGGTGAGAGGTTTTTAATAAGGGTGAGCTATGGCCAGAGCCAGTGGCAGCAGCATCACCTGGGACACACATGGACATTCGAGACACCCACCCCAGCCTGCTGATGGAGCCACTCTGGGGTGGCTGGACGATCCGTGGCCAACAAGGCCCCCAGGTACGTCCGACGTGGGAGCCCTCGTGAGACACCCTGGTCTGAAGGCCGCTGCTCGCTCCCTCCCAGGCCTTCAGACTGCTCTGCCAGACTGTTTTCTAGAAGTCTCCCGGCTCCTCCCCTCTCCCCATGTGACAGGCAGGCAACAGTGCCTGGCTGTGCTGCAGAGCCCAGTCCCCGGGAAGAGGAGAATCAGACCTCCCTGTCTCTCCTTCCTGTCCTAGCTGGGAGGACAACAGGATCTTAATAAACTTCAGAGCTCTCTGCCACGGAACCTGACTCCCCAAGGACCCTGAGCAGGCCTGCAGCAGCGGGAATGCCTCGCCCCGCCCCAGCCACGCTCACCAGGTAAACGTCACAGAGGTTGTGCAGCCAGAAGTGGTGCAGGGCGTGGGTGACGAGCGACAGCTCCCGGGCGAGGAAGCCCCGCTCGCACTCGCGGGCAGCGAGGGCAAGGCGGCTCAGGATCCAGGCGTCCATGGGTGAGGAGGGAGACAGCTGCGGGCAGAGGGGGCCTAAGGACTGGGATGGCTCGTCCCCCAGTCCTGCCTCCTTTCCTGCCCTGCCTCCTTTCCTTCCAGATGCCACCTTCAGCCCACAGACACTTGCCTCCCCCGACTCCCACCACCCTGCTCGCTCTCTTGCCTCCTCTGCCGGCTGCGGCACGAACTGCTCCCCTAGGACACCGAGGATAAAGCGCAGGGCGTTCCAGATCTTGTTGCAGAAATGTCGGCAGCTCTGAACCTCAGAGACAGACAGGTGCAAGTCGCCCCCTGGAGGGAGAGGACTGAGAGAGTCTGCACCTGGGCGGACAGCACAGTGAGTCCTGATCCTGCACCACTGCCCTCGGCTCACCCAGTGCCGCCCGCACAGGCTTACCCAGGACTCCGTGGGAGCAGAGTGTGAATCTCAGGGCATCTGTCCCGCACTCAGGGATCCCATGAGGAAAGTCCTTTGTCTGCAACCAGAAGGGTGGCAGGAGCCTGTGAGGCTACAGGGCTGGAGCCTGGGTTGCAGAAGAAACCAGTGGCGGAGAGCTGCAGCTGGAGCGGCAGGCAGACGCTGGAGACTCACCTGTGCGGCGGCTGCGATGGCCAGCTCTGCGGGGTCCAAGTTCCCACTTCTCAGCTTTTCCTGCAGCACCTGGGGATGGGGAGAATCACCGGCCAAGGCTGAAGGCCCCGCCTCTGCAGCGGTCACACCGCTGGCCTCACACCTCTCCCCAGCCTCCCTTCCTCTCTCCCGCAGCCCGCCTGGGAGCCGCGCTCTGTCCTCACCTGCAGCCCCACCCCACAAATGATGTCCCGTGGATCCAGCACATTCCCCAGGGACTTGCTCATCTTCCGGCCCTGCCTGTCCCGAACCATGGGGTGAAGAAGCACCTGGGGGCGTGGAGGGGGTCAACAGAGGGGACTTCGAGAGCCTTTCCTTGGAGAGTCCCTTGGGACCTCGGGCCTGCACACTTTAGGGGCCAGAGTGGGAAGCAAATCGGGAACAAGGCATCGGGAACATGGAAAGTGCCAGATTAGGGGTTGGAAGGGCTGTTACCTTGCTGAAGGGGAGCTGTCCTGTGAGCTGAGTGCCTAGCATAACCATGCGGCCCACCCAAAACAGCAGGAGGTCACTGCCCGTTTCCAAAAGTGACAGGGGGTAGAAGCGAGCGAGGTCTAGAGTCTGGGTGAGAGGAGTGCTAAGAGCCCTGAGTCCCCGTGGGGGCCCAGCCACCTCCATCACTCCCACCTTCACTCTCACCCGCTCAACCAGCCTCACCTCTCGGGGCCAGCCCAGGGCAGAAAAGGGGAACAGGGCCGAAGAGAACCATGTGTCCAAGACATCAGGGTCTGGGAAACAGAAAAGGAAGGGGGATAGCTGGGACCTCAGCTTCTAGGACCTCAGACCTTCGCTGCCTACCCTTATAGCTAACCCTCAGCCCCAGAGAACAGGGGTCTTGCCTATGGCTCCATCCCAGCTCTCCCAACCCTACTTTCTGCACCCAGTGTCTGCTCCCCTCAAAGGCCCAGGCACCCGGCCCAGCCCTCCCCTCCCCAGCCTGTCCTGCCCCCCCCTCCCCGCGTCCCTCTCCAGCTCAGGGCTCACCCCTCTCCAGGACCAGCTGTGCCCCGGGTCTCCCTGTCAGTTCTGCTGCGACCTCTCTGGCCTCGGCCTCTGACCGCCCAACCACCCAACAGTCCTCCCTGTCACCCTGCAAAGTAAGGGGCGAGGAAGAGTGAGGAAAAATAGTTGATGAGTGTAAAGCGTCACCTAATGTTCACATTCTCTCACGTGGTCTTAGGGTGGCCAGCGCCACCAGGAAAGAGACAAAGAAGCGTGGCTCAGGGAGCCTTGAATGCAGCAGGGGCTATGTGACTGAGCCCACGAAGCACACTGACAAGCAGGAGCTGGGACAGCCCTTGGAGTCCTCTGACTCCTGGCTGAGGCTCTCTCTGCACGCCCAGCCCTCCCGGCAGCTCCCTCCTACCCACCTGCACGTGCTCCTCTACGACCAAGTAGGCTGGGATCTGATGGCCCCACCAAAGCTGCCGCGAGACACACCAGTCCCTGCCGAGAGGACATCACTGATGTCTTAGCATGACCAGGGAAACCCCCGTCATGTCCATGAGAGCTCCCATGCGCTTACCCGATGTGGGCAAACCAGTGCTGCCAGCTCTTCTGGTGGAAGGCCGGGCTGAGCTCCAGGGCCCCTGACTCCACGGCCTGGAGGGAACATGGCTTCAGACAGTGCTTGCCTTCCGGCACGTATGCGCCTCCAGGGATGGGACGAGTGGCCTCTAAGGTAGTTTTAAACCTCAGAGAGGACCTCTCAAGCCTCCTCTGGATTCTGGGCTTGAGTGAGGGCATGAGCCAGCCCTCTCTGGGCCGCCTTGCCTCCGTGCCACACGTCCTCGCCATCGCCACAGCTGGAGAGATCTGTGGGGTGGGAGGCCCTGCACGCTGCGTTCTCCGTCCCGTCCCTTCAGCCCCTGCCTTCCTCACGCCGCAGCTCACCTGGGCAGCCCGCTCGCCCATCTCCCGGCAGCGGACAGACCACTGGCTCTTCAGCAGGTATTCCACCACGTCCCCGGAACGGCTGAAAGGGACACAGGATATGTCAACTGCTCTGCAGGCCCTGTGCCTTCTCCCAGGGACACGGGGTCCTACTCCGTGCCAGGCCCTCAGTACTGAGGACACAGCAGTGAATAAAACTGACACAGAACTTGTTTTCTAGCGGAAGGGTACAGAGCCCATCCTGTTGTCACTTTTTTTTTTCTCTTTTTCACTCCAACTTAACCCTTGTAAACTGCTGTCACTCTTAAGCTCCATTCACTCCCTTTTGGGGGTGGCCTCCAGTGGAGGAGTTAAAATGAGGTCACCTGCAGATGGGCAGGACCATGGGGTGGTTCTGGAGGCCCCGGAACAGGCCCCGCTCCCTCAGCGCAGACATTATCTTTTCCCGGGCTACGAATCGGTGAAGGCCCTAGAGAATAAGTGGCAGCAGTAAAGATTAATTCATATTAATTAATTAATTGAATTAATTAATTCAATTCATATTAGTATAACTCTTGGCTTTTGGGGTACTCATTCATTTGTAATTTTTTTCTTCCCATGATTAGCTTTTGGTTTTCTATTTTGTCTTACCAACTGCTATGGTTTGCGTATGTTTTGTTTGGCCCCGCCAAGTCTCACAAAATTTCATCCCCAAAGTTGGAGGTGGGGCCTGGTGGGAGGTATTTGGATCATAGGGTTGGATCCCTCATGAATGGCTCGGTGCTGTTCTAGAGGGTGGGAAAGGAGAGGAAGGGCAGAGGGTGGCCTGAAATGGTGGGGTAACACAGGCCCACAGGGGACCACCTGCAGCCAGTCCCCGCACAGGGAGGTCATGGTCCCATCCTCTGCAATGACGTTCAGGGGACTCAAGCCGTGTCGGGCCCCCATCTCAGCATCGACAGGACTGTGTGCTGGAGTCACCTTCACTGCCCCTGCGAGAGACAACCATGGTGACCACTGAACCTGACCTTGGATTTTGCCTTTCCAGATGTAGCATTACTGCCCACACCTCCCCGTCCCACTGTCCCCTCTGTGCCTCCCTCTGCTCCCCACTGTCTGCTCGGACTACCCTGTATGAGCACTTGCCTCCCCTCCCCCAGGACCCCCACTTCCTCTCCCTCCCTGACCCCCTCACCTGTGCCCACATGTGGCTCAACAGCGGAGTCTGTGATAAGGGGCAGAAGCTGCCCTGTCAAGGGGTGACGAAGCTGCCGCCCATGCAGATGCTGAAGGAAGGAGAGGGTCAGGGAGAGACATGTGTGGGCCGGAAAAGTCAGGGCTGGCGCGTGAGAGCCCGCAACCAGAGGGCGGAAACCAAGAGGCAAATGGCTGCTGGAAGGCAGCAAGCTTTCTCTGAAGGGGCCAGAGTGTAAGCATGTTAGGGTTTTGGGCATAGAGGCAAAGTCCGTCTGCACACGAGTGCTCCACTCTGCCACCAGCACATCAACAGCAGCCACAGGCAGTACGGAAGTGAATGTGCGTGGCTCATACCCAAGTAAGCAACAGGCTAGATTTAGTCCCTGGGCCAGTATATCAACCTCTCAGCTGAGAAAAATGTGTAGCATCAAGAAAAGGGAGTAAAATCAGAGCCACAGCAGAGCTGGGGTGAGAAAAGTAGCCTCAGGAAAAGGAAGAAGCAGGAGAGAAAGAGCTATCATCTTAAAAGGCAGGGAAGAGAAGGCCGTCGGGCGGGAGGGCCAGGATGCGGGGTGCGCTGCCCATTACTGTGTAGCGGGAGTCGTCCGGATGAACAGCCACAGCCACGTCTCCAGGTAGCGTCTCTGGCCTCGTGGTTCCCACCACGACCTCTGCATCTAAAGACGAACAGGCAAGCACTTCTATTAATAGGGCTCGTCACAGCCCTCACCACTTACTCCTACAGCTAAAGGCTGTAGAACTGGAAAGCGGGAGGGGCAGGGGGCAGCCAAGGTGGAACAGTCCCCCCGAAGTAACTTGAGAAGATCAGAAGCATTTATAGGAGCCCAGGGTTTCCCACAAGCTGGTGACCAGAGGTGTGAGAGGCTGTTTGGTGCTAAGTAATTCCTTGATAGCATGCATGGGGAAGCATTAATAAAACAACTGGAGTCCTTGCTGGGTATGCAGAGGACACTGGGGAGTCTCATAGTCCTAGTCACAAATGCTGTGCATTCCTCAGGGCTAGCACCAGCCTCTCCTACAAGAAGCTTCCTCTTCCATTTCATCTATCTTCCCCTTCTCTGAATTCTTTGGAACGCTTATTGAACAAAGCACACTTTAGAACTGATCTTTTGTCTCTTTCCTGGGTTAGAACAGACTTCTGCAGAAGTACACCAGGCTCCTGAAGGCAGTGACCACATCCCCGGAATAGCCAGGTAACTACCACAACCATGCAAACACTACCAGGTTCACAGGGGACACAGACTGATGGCTTCCTAGAAGCCCAATGTGGGCTTGAGAAAACAGGGGAAACAGAGGTAAGCAGGCAGCCCTTCAGAGGACTACTCTCACCAGGCTCTCCATCCACGGGGAAGGCAACAGAAACCAGGAGGCCGAAACACACAGAGATGGGGCAGCCGGGCAGTCGAAGCTCCGTGCGGCCAGGCAGGGGCCTACTCTCCACCTGGTGAGGTGCGGAGGAGGCTGGGTCAGAGAGTAACCCTTCTGCAAAGCTCACACCCAAGCTTTCTGCAGCCACTCACCCTCCAGCCCACCCTCCCTACAATCCATCTGAAAGCCATTTGGAGGGTTCAGAAGCCACCTCCGCCCCCTCACCCAATGTTTGTGCAGTCACAGCACTAGTAAGTATCACCGAGCACTCCAGACTGGGCCAGGCATTGTGCTGAGCACCTACATGAATTCTCCTTTAATTTTTACAACACCCCCATGATGCAGGCGTTCCATCACCTCTAATTTACAGATTGAGGGGCTGAGGCTTAAAGGGGCTAAACTGCCTGATAAAAGTCACCCAGCTTTCAGAGGCGAGTCTCAGATTTAAATCCAGACACTCTGGCCCCAGAGTCTGAGCTCTTACCACTTAACCACCCTCCCTCAGAGCTCTCCCAAACCTGCTTCTCCTTGTGTGCCTCACCTCAATGTCCGAGATGGCTGATCTTAAAGCACATGACCAGTTGACAAGCTGACGGTTCCGGTACAACAACCCCGCCTCGTAGAGTCGCACAAAAGCTTCGGTGACGGCCGCTGAGGAGCCCTAGAATGACCCGAGTGTCCACATCTAACAGCTGCTTCTCAGCCTCTCAGGGACCCAAACATCCCACCTCACTGCCTCAACGTGCCAAACAACCCCTGCCTGGCACAGATCTCCGAACACAGCCCCCAACACCCACAGGGACCAAGGCACAGAATGCTCACAGCATCCATGGTGAAACACTCTCGGTCCCAGTCCAGGGAGGCACCCAGAGCTCGCAGCTGCTCACAGATCTCTCCACCTTTCCTGTGTCCACAGAGACAGAGATCGTTTTCAGCAAACACATCCCAAGCACCTCCCATGTACCAGGCCCAGTAACGCCCCAGCAATGCCAGGTGCCGGAGGAAAATGAAAAGTGAGTAAGTATGCCATCCATCTAGCCTCTAGAAGCTAATGGAGACAGATCACAAACTCAGTAAGGGGCTTTCTATGGCATTAAAAGAGGCAAAAAGTTCTATAGGAACAGAGGAAGAGCAGCTGAATTGTGGGAAATCCTAAGAAGTTTCACAGAAAAGATGGCATGTGATAACAGACCTGGAAGAATGAGGGTAATTTCATGGGAATTAGAAGTTGGGACTGGGCAAGTGGAAGAGAGGTGATAAATTCTAGGCAAGTAAAAACAAGGTAGAGAGAAAAAATACACATATATGTAATATATATATACACACAAATGTATACATTTAAACGTACCTATAGTGTACACACACACACACACACACACACACACACACACAGCCTAGAAACTCCACCAAACTCTAAGGGGCAAAAGAGTTTTCATCTCTGAGAAACTGGGGTCATGCTGGGAAGAGCCAAAGATCACAAGTTAGGAGACAAAAGTGATGGGAAGCAAAGACCCAAACCCGCCATCTGGGCCCCTCCAGCCATGCCCATCACACTCACGCCTCCTTCCACTGCCACACCTCCCTAAGGAAGTCTTCCCGGCTCAGCTCATGTCTCCTCACTCCCCGCTCCTTCCATAGCTGTTTCTCCACCACAGCCTGCAGTTGGAATGGGGGCAAATGAGCAGAGAGTCAGGATGCTTTGGGAGAAGTCACTTTTATCCAAGGAAAGGAAAACATAACAGAAGACATACTTGTGTAGCAATCCCTGCATGATCTGAGCCAGGGACCCACAGCACTCGGTCCCCACGCATCCGGTGCCTACAACAGAAATGCCCTCATGAGAGCCCACGGCTTACATGTTTATCCTCACTCATTCCCGCCCTTTCTACTGGCCCTCCAAGAACTCAAACAAGCGCTGTTCCTCTCTCACCAGCGCACAAGGGCATCCTGTATAGCCACTGTGAGTGCATGGCCAATGTGCAGGGAGCCAGTGACATTGGGAGGTGGGATACACATGGAAAACGTCTCCCCTGTGGCCTGCGGCAGCTGGGCCTAGAAAGGAGAAAAGTGAAAGGGCAAGAATGGACTGGATGTTACCTAAGGGAAGAGCACCCTCTGGTGTCTCCAAGATGAAAGAACTGCAGAGATCTGTCCCGCAAATAACAGGAAAGCAGAGGAAGAAAAGGAATCTGCCAGGGGAACCTGGCGAGAGAGACTTTCGGAGACATGAAGTCCAGAAAGAAAACAAGTCTGTAACGCAAGCTTGACTCAGAGGCATTGGTTGTGTTCAAGGACCACTCAGGGCCGGGCGCGGTGGTTCACATCTGTAATCCTAGCACTCTGGGAGGCCAAGGCGGGCAGACTGCTCGAGGTCAGGAGTTCAAAACCAGCCTGAGCAAGAGTGAAACCCCGTCTCTACTATAAATAGAAAAAAATCAATTGGCCAACTAATATATAGAAAAAATTAGCCGGGCTTGGTGGCGCCTGCCTGTAGTCTCAGCTACTCGGGAAGCTGAGGCAGGAGGATTGCTTGAGCCCAGGAGTTTGAGGTTGCTGTGAGCTAGGCTGATGCCACGGCACTCACTCTAGCTTGGGCAACAAAGCAAGACTTTGTCTCAAAAAAAAAAAAACAAAAACAAAGGACCACTCAGTCCTGAGGATCATTCGGCACCCCTTCCTGCCAGGTACTAACCTGATATTCTGGTTTGAAGAAGCCCTCTTGCACCCACCACTGGTACCAGGCAGCCTCAACATATCGGGGGCTGTAGGCAGGAGGCAGGCACCCAGAGACATCTGTGCAAGCAGAGGAGAGCTCCACTAACTACCAAGCTTTGTTCCCAGGCTGCGTTTCTGCAGACCAAATGGGCAACAAAAAAATGAGAGAAAAGGCCTTTAAGTGCCCTAGTTACCTTTCTTTTCACCGGGTTTCGTGGGGATTTCATACAATACTACCTCCTTAGGACTCCAAGCCTTATTGAACTCTGTGGGTGACTGGAAAGAGGAAGCAAAGGAAGTGGTATGTAATTCCCAGGATACCCCAGCCGCCTGGATCCCAGCCCAAGTCTCCTCCACCCCCCTTCCAAGTCTCAGGGACCCAAGAACAAGTTGTCTGACCCCCAACCTTGCTCTTCCCAGCTATCCCAGCCTGCAGCGCCGCCTGCTTCTCCCGCAGGCGCTTCTTTTTGGCTTCACGATTCCTCCGAGAGATGGGAAATCCATGTGGCTCTGACTGTGTAGAAAGGGGATGGGACCTGGGGAGGCCCCGTGAGGGCCTCAGCCCCCAAAGTGGCGGTCGAAAAGACGCTAGAGGCAAATGAGGCATCAGGAGTGGTTGGAAAGGGACCAAGATCTGCTTGGGATAGACAGAGAGCACATTAGGCAGACCGGGGCGGAGGGTCACACTTCCCAAAGCCACTCCCCTTATTCCTTACTTCCTGTCTCCGACTAGCACTGGTCTATATATCTATGGCCTCCCACACCACCCTCCTCCTAAAGGACTAGAATACAAGGTGTCGACAGGGCCAACATCAGCTGAAACAGGGTCGGAGTTCTGGGCCCGAAATCTATGCATCTACGACTTGAGGGGGGACCGCTGACGCAGGGAGAGGAAGAGGACCCGGAGATTCAGGGAGATGATGGAATCAGCACGCCTAATAGCCGGCAAGGTGTCCCTTCAGGGTCACGATCATCTCTGCCGGCCCACGAGGCGCCCGCAGAGCCCACAGCCCCGCGCAGCCCGACCTTTCCACCCATCCCACCGCATGGACAAAGGACCGCAGCGCCTCCCACCTCCAGGCCTCCCCGGCGCGCGCTCACCCTGCGACCCGCCGCTATCCCAGGGCGCCCCGCGGTGGCAGGGGCTGGGGTCACCAGCGCACCGGAACTTGGAACGCGGCCCGCCCCTCTCGCGGTGCATGGGGCGGAGCCCCGCCCTGCGCATGCGCGGCGGTTGGCCTCGGCCCCGCCCCGCCGGCCCAATGGTCGCCGACGCGGAGAGGGAGCCGGGCCGCGAGCGTCGGGGACGCGTAGCTCACTTCTCAAAGCTTTATTAGACAAGCAAAGTCCCGACGTGTAAATAAAATACACCTGAGTTCTGCGGCCGGCTCAGCCAGCCCGCCCCACCCGGGCCCGCCCGCCCAGGTCGGGGTCTGGGTCCTGCACTCTCAGAGGCTGTGTTTTTGCCGCTTCCAGAAACGCTTGACGTCGCTGTGCCCGGCCGGGGTCACCACCATGAGCCGCTTGGCCGAGTTCTCGAACACTAGCACGCCCAGCTCCCGCGCGTGCGCCAGCAGCAGCTCAAAGTCCACTTGGGACAGGAACTGGTTGTACAGGACGCCTAGGGTAGGCAACGCGGGGAGAGATGGTGAGAATGTGAGGCTCCGAGTGACCCAGAGTCCCAGGCTCTACGTGGCGGCAGCAGGAGGTGATCTGGGCTTGCCCCCACCGCAGTGTTTAAAACTAATTCTCTACGCTTGTCTGCCGAGGGGCTCATCTTAACAAGAGTGTGATCCAGCCATATTCAGAAAGGCAATGTAATACAGTAAGAAAATCCATTAATGTTCACCAAAACCAGAGAAATTACTGTGAATTATTCTCTCTCCTAGCTAAATCCAAATTGCACTGATTTGGGACATTTGCTACTGATTCATCCCAAAATAAAGTGTCCTGCCAGCTTTTCTCTCCCAGTCCATGCAGTAAGCAAAAGATAAAATGCATGAAAAGCTTTCTCAGCCCAGTCAAGAGTGAATTGTCTGCTCTCTCCTCCCCCTTCCTCTCCCTTTCTCCTTCCCCATATTAAAGAAAAAAAAAAAAGACTGAATTGTCTACCAATTGTCTACCAAGACTCAGCCACCAGAACCCACTCACCCTCGGTGAACCGAAGTCTGTCCCTTTCCAGCTCCCACAGCCGAATCTGGTCTGTGATGGTGGGAGGCAGGACAGGTGTCTGCAGGGCAAGGGCTGGCTTCAGGGACTCAGGTATAACGCCGTAGACAACCGGCCCTCCACTCATTCCCAATTTGGATGTCCCCTTTTTTTCCCCCATCATCTCAAAACTAGGTGTCAGGGGCTGCCAGCCTCTGACATCTTGTTACCTGTCTGTACCTGTTTGAGCATCACTGGGTGGGCCCTTGTCCTTAGGAAATGGATTATCTAGGAAAACACAAGAATAGCATGAGGGGTTGAGAAAGAATGCAGAAAAGTCATCTGAGCTGTCACCTGCTGTCACTGGAACATCAACTTACATTGTTTAAAAACTCACAGCCCTGGCCAGGCGCGGTGGCTCACGCCTGTAATCCTAGCACTCTGGGAGGCCAAGGCGGGCGGATTGCTCGAGGTCAGGAGTTCAAAACCAGCCTGAGCAAGAGCAAGACCCCATCTCTACTATAAATAGAAATTAATTGGCCAACTAATATATATAGAAAAAATTAGCCGGGCATGGTGGCGCATGCCTGCAGTCCCAGCCACTTGGGGAGGCTGAAGCAGGAGGATTGCTTGAGCCCACGAGTTTGAGGTTGCTGTGATACCACGACACTCACTCTAGTCTGGGCAACAAAGTGAGACTCTGTCTCCAAAAAAAAAACTCACAGCCCCTGTCATCAATTCAACCCATCCCTGTTCAGCTGTTACCCCAAGTTGCTGTTCCCACTGGGCATGTCTGCTATTCCTTCTCTGGCACATTTGCCCTTTCCAGTCTTGTTTTGTTTTTCTTTCTTTAAAATAGCAGCAGCTACTATTTTTTGAGCACTTACTGCATGGCAGGCTCTGAGCTAAATGCTTTACCTCTAGTCTCCCATTGAATTTTCCCAATAACCCTGTGAAGTTACCAGCTAAGGAAACTGAGGCTCACAGAGGTGAAGCCACTAGGCCCAGTTTACACAGCTAGGAAGTAGTGGTGCTGAGACACAAATTCAGGGCTATACCTCCTCCCCCCATGCTTTTCCCCCCCTCAAGCATCTGCCTATCCCCACATCTGAAGCCTAGATTTCTCATTTGCCTGGTGCTCAAACACAGACAACTCACCCCCCCCCATTATAATAGACCCAGTGCTAGCCTTCCCTAATGTGACCACCCTGTACTCCACAGTCCAAGTACAGCCCAACTTCCCGCCCCCCCCACCCAAGGGGGATACCTGTTGGGCTGTGATGCCACTGGCGATGGCCTGCTGCACACTCTCTCGGGTCACCTGCGCTACCACCATGTTGGGGAAGCGATAGAGCATCTCAGAGAAGAGAGCAATGAGGGCAATCTGCAGCTCCGACTCTGAGCCCGGGATAGGAGAGAATGAGGAGACTACCCCCAAACCCAGATACCCTCAAGCCCTTCCTGTGTGTTAAGAAATGTCAGAGTTATGCACACTGCCAGATAAACATGCACTGTCATTCCCTCCTGCTTCCCACCCACAACTTCCTCTCCCAAGAGACCACTGTCTAGCCTCACCCGTGTAGGCATACAGTCGGTAATTGGTTTCCACAACAATGAAGCCTGGCTGATGCACAGTGCCCCCAGCTCCAGAGACACCTGATGAGAGATTGATGGCCAGTCGTGTGGGGTAGTAACGCCGAGATTTCCTCTGGGAAGGACAGAAGGGAAAGGCAAATGGCCTCTGTAAAGGATCACTGTGCCTGAGACATCAGATCCCTCCCAGGACACAGGCCCTCAACCCTCAACTTCTCTCCCCATAGGGACCCAGGTATTCAGTCCTGGTAACTGCTTCCTGCTACTGCCCCAAGACCCCACCCCTTTTTAAAGGCCAAGGCAACACACCTTGGGTCTTCTTCCCTAGGAGCCTCTACTGCCTAGAAATATCTAGGTGTTCATACCTTCCTCTGGAAAACAAGACCAAACTCCCGCAGATGTTGCAGAAAGTTCAGCAGAGAATCACTCATACCTTCCACAGAGTAATCCTAGGAAAGAGAGGTGGCTAGCTAGGGTCCAAAACACATCCTGGCCTCCCTCCCCTAACCCCATACACTCATTCCCTCTTTCCCCATCTCTGCTCATTCCATGTTCATTCTTCTCACCCTACTGCCTCTCCAGCCTGCTCTCTCCTTTACACCTCCCTACCCTCCAGCCCCCACTTACCTTGCCCAGAGTAGAGAAGCTGAGCTGGAAGAGGAAGGAGAGAATCTCCACTAGGTCCATGCCCCGGCTCTAGAGAGAATGGGGCAGAGACAAAGGAGAGATGGGAGGGAGACAATGGAGAGAGCCAGGAAAGAAAAAATCAGGGAACAGAGTTCTGTAGGCAGTAGTCTTTCAGTGCGACCTGAGACGAGTAGAACATAGTAGCAAGTGGCCCCTGGGCTCCTCACCTGGGCAGTCTGCAGATACTGCAACATAAAGTACCAGAGCTGGGCCGGGGTGTCCAGCAATAGGAACTGGAAGCCAGCAGAAGTAATGCAGGGCGGCTCTCCAGGTTCAGTACTGGAGACAGAGAGGGACAATGATGGAGCTATGCAGAGAAAGGCGACTATCCCTGTCCTCACGTTGTTTCTTGCTATCTCTGGCTATACTCTACTCAGTTCACCTTTTCCAGTCAACTCGCTCTGATCCTGACTTGCCCCAGATACTGTTCATCAGGGACCCAAGTAGACGGCACAGCAGGAAGCTGTTGGACCTGTGGCTTCCTCACCTCTTCATGAGCCCAGCCTGGCTGAGGAGCTGAGCCAAGTCCTGGCTGACAGCTGCGCTGGGGGAGCCCACCATGAAGTGCAAGACCACCTGAGGACAGAAGAGAACAGGAGACCAAGCCTCTAAGGGCTTGTCATGGGAGGCAGAAGCACAAGAGGAGACACACACAGAGTTCCAAGTCCTCACCTCCCATCGCTCCTCGGCGTACTTGTCAAGTGAGGGAACATCCCGAGCGTGCTTGTCTGGTCCCAGCTGACTTGTGTCATCAGACCAGGCCTTTCCCCTGTGGCCAAGATGGGTCAAGAGTAAGGAACCCTGTCTGTGTTCCTTGCTGCCTTCTTTCCACCCTATCCCCAGGGCCATGAGTGGGGGACATTTTCTGCACCATGCAGTTATATCTGGCCCAACTTATTCCTTGTGAAGCCCACAAGGTTCCAAGGAAGCCCCTTAGGAGCTCCAGCAGTTTAATCACCAGTTTAATTACCAGTTCCCCTGGCCTAGCTTAGGAAGAGATGGAAGTGACATACCCACCCAGAAGGGCAATGCGGAGGTTCTGGCGGAAGACTGGGTTGAGGATGAGGCCCTGGAGCCCACCTGGGAGCAGCTGGGTGTGCCAGATACGGAGGCCACTCAGCAGCCCTGTACTTTCCTCCTGAGCCCTGGAACAAAGCAGAGAGGTGAGCGAGATGTCTGGAGCACAAAAAGAAAAGAGGCCCACAATGGTGTCCATTTCTACCTTTTCTGAACTGGTGACCCCTGGAATACTGTTCCACGGAGTGAAATCAGTGTCTTCTTGAGACAAATGTCCTTACTGCACCACCCATCAGAGCCTTGTTATAGACATTATAACTCTCTAAGAAGGGAAAATACAGTATGCAGAGTTTCCCAAACATATTTAATTTCAGTGGTGTAACTACTGAACCTGGAAGTGTTCAAGGAACAGCAGTTTGGGAAACCTAGCTGTTGAGAAATATATATCTGGCTGAGAATGCAGTAGAGACTCACTTGCTGAATTCTTTCTTTACCCACAGGGCTACAGCAGCTTGTGGCAATGGCTGCTCCAGAAAGAGCATCCGCATCACCCAGTTCTTAGCCAATGATGGCAGCTCCCTGTAGGGAAGTAGAGGTCAAATGTTAATATCAAAAGCCGTTTTATATCTGCATCTCTGCCCTCAACTGCCTGTCAAACATCTCATCTCACCCAACCACACCTTTATTAGCCCTGCAGTCCCCACAAACTCCATCTGTTTTGGCCTGCCTGCTTTGGAGTAATCTCTAACCCCACCCCCATCCCCCAGGCTGCTTGCTTTCTACTGTGATAACTTATTCCAGTCTGCAAGTCTCATTACATTTCCCCACCATGGTCCCTACCATGAAAGCGACTCCTCACCTGAAGACAGCTAGACAAGTGGCAGGGTGCCCATACAATCGGTCCAATACCCCAGGGCTCAGGCCTCCTAAGAATTCCTGCAGATTCCTGCATTGTAGGTGTACTCGGTTCAGACCACCCCTTGAGGGGGTGCTCTCCATCACCTGAGAGATGCACATGTTAGAAGTGTATCCCCATGATCCGTGCCAGTGTCACCCCTGGCCTTTCTCATTCTGATTCCAGATCCATGACCCTTATAATAACCGCATCTTTTCTGTGGTTCCCTTTCCCATGTCATTCATCTCTGATTTCTCCCAAACCTAACCAACCACCCTGTGTTTCCTCCTTCCTCACTCCACTTCTGCTCTCAACTCCAGTTTTCTCTCAATTTCCAAGTGATGGAATTATTAATTGTCGTATACTTGCAAAATCATTTTGTATTTCAATGACTTGTCTCATCTTAAGCTAAGCAGAAACAGAGAAACTTGTTTGAGACCAGTCCTCTCTCTTCCACCCCTCCAGGTCAGATCAGTCCATAAACTCCAAATATGTTAGTCTTTCCCTTCTTATATGTCTTAGCTCACTTCTGCTATGCATGGCGATAACTTCTCCCCTCTTTCTCCTTCCCCCCAAGTCTACTTCACCCTATTCACCGTGACCCACAACGTCCGATCTCCTAACTTCTCCCCTACTTTCCTCCCACACCTCGCGGCTCACTCAACTCTCTCTCACACACCTCCTTCACCCCCGCCCTCCTGGGTTCCCTCACCACTCTGTGTCGATCCTCCTCGCACACCCCGAGTCTCGAGCTGTCCCTTAATCAGAACCAATGTCTCGCATTGGCTCCCAGAAACAGGGGGAAAGATGGTGGGGAAAATGTGAGAAAAAGATGGGGAAAGTGTCGAAGGAAGTCACAGAAAAGATCCCGGAGTGGACAATTCAGAGAAGCCAGGGAAGGGAAGGAATGGGAAAGTGAGGAGGAAGAGAATAGGTGCAGCACTTGCCCGCGGCGGGGCATACTGGGAATTAGAGTCTTATTCTTGCTCGTCTAGGAGCGGGCTGACGACGTCTGACTACAAATCCCGAAAGGCATCGCGGGAAGCCGCGGGGCGAGAAGCTGGCTGTTAATTGAGAGAGCCGGGAACATCAGAAGCCCGGCCACTTGGTTCCGTGGCGCTCTCCATCCGTGGTGCTCTCCATGCGTGGTGCTAACGGCGCGTCTAACCGGCCTGGGCGGAAGCGGGACTCTGAGAGAAGTACTTGGAGGCCTTCCTGGCGGAGGCGCGCAGGGACGGCCCAGTGAGGCGCTTAGCCTCTGGATTCCTCGAGTTCAGTTGCTCCCCGTAAAATGGGGATAATGTACTCCAGAACGTTTTTTGCGAGTTAATGATCCAGTGTACCCTACTCGGCTGGTAAGTACTCAATAAATGTTAATTTCTGCCTCCACCATGCTTCCAACCCGTTTAGTTAGAAGACCCTAATAAAAACAGTTTTTTAAAAGAAACCAATTGTTTGCTCTGATTTGATTTATGAACCTACTGCAGAGAAAGGCAAGGGAAGTCTTGGGGTTTTTTTGAGACAGAGTCTCGCTCTGTTGCCCGGGTTATAGTGCCGTGGCGTCAGCCTAGCTCACAGCAACCTCAAAACTCCTGGGTTCAAGCAGTTCTTCTGCCCCAGCCTCCGAGTAGCTGGGACTACAGGCAGGCGCCACCACGCTCAGCTACTTTTTTCTATTTTCAGTAGAGATGGGATCTTGCTCTTGCTCAGGCTAGTCTTGAACTCCTGCCCTCAAGTGATCCTCCCACCTCGGCCTCCCAGAATGCTAGGATTACAAGTGTGAGCCACTGCACCCGGCCCAGAGGAAGTCTTTAACCAAGGCCAGAACTACATGTTTTTCCAAATCCCTATATGCAGATATTATTCCCATTTTGCAGACTAGAAGACCAGAGCTCCGAGAGGTTAAGAAATTTGTATATGATCAGACAGCTGGAAAGGGCCCAAGCTGGAATTTGAAGCACATTTGCAAGAGGCAACAGGCCAAAATGGCAAGGACTGTGAAAGACTTTGTTGTGCTTTGTAACTCACCCATGTTTGTTCTGTTGTTCTGCGTTTCTTCAGCAGTGTTTGAAATGCTCAAAGAACACCACAAAACTGACAAAGCTTCTTTATGACAAACGTTAAGTAAGGTTAAAAGACAATTTATAGTCCGGGAAGAAATGGTTGATGAAATAGACAAAATACTAAAAGCTCTTACAAAGTAATAAGAAAAAGAAATAGAGATAGACAATAAACAAAAGAAATACAATGCCTTATAAAGAGAAAAAAACTGTTAACTACACTAGTAATTAAGGAAAAGTAATTTAAAGAAACAAAATATCAGAGATTAAAGCAACAATAAAAGATTAGCAAAAACGAAAAAGAAAATTAAGGCTTGACAACTTTAATGTGGCCAGTATGTAGGAGCACATTCATATACAATTGTTGAAGGTTGACATAACCATACCTTTTTTAAGTCAATTTGGCAGTATCTACCAACAAGTTTAGTGTAACTACCCCCTTTGACGCAGCAACTCCACTCTTAGGAATGTAATGAAATTCTCCCACTTTAGTAGAGATATGCATGCAAAGATGTTTATTGAAATGCATTTGTTATTGTATTATAAAAACAATGAAGCCGGTATGGTGGCTCACACTGTCATCCCAGTTATTTAAGGCAGGAGTTCAAGACCAGCCTTGGCATCATAGCAGGACCCTGTCTCTCCAAAATTTGTAAATCAGCCAGGCATGGTGGCGCACACCTGTACTCCTAGCTACGGGGGAGGTTGAGGTGAGGGGATCATTTGAGCCCACAAGTTCCAGGTTGCAGTGAGTTATAATTATGCCTGGCTGAAAGAGTGAGATCCTGTCAAAGAAAGGAGGGAGGAAAGAAGGGGAGGGGAGGAGGAGGGAGGGAAGGGAGAAAGGAAGAAGGAAGGAATTGAAGGAAGCAGCCCAAATGTCCATCACTGGGGGTTGGTTAGATAAAATGTGGGTTATTGCAACAAAGCAGACTACTAGACAACTCTTAAAAGAGGAAGTCACTGTATGCATACTGACCTGGAACTATGTACAATACAACTTTGAGGGAAGAAAAGCAAATTACAAAATGGCATACATAGTCCAATGCCATCTTTGTAAGAAGCTTTTATGCGTGTGTAAAACTGGAGGAAGCTGTCTGCTTCATTTTGAAGGGAGTAGGCAAGGGGAGATAGGTCGACTGTGTCACAGTTTCCTATGCTATAAAGCTATGCTGTCCAGTATGGTAGCAGCTAGCCACCCGGGGCTATTTAAATTTAAATTAACTAAAGTAAAATTTAAATTTCAGTTTCTCAGCCACACTAGCCCTATTTCAAGTGCTCAATGGCTACAGGTGGCTAGTGGGTACCTGCTAGACACCATAGGTGTAGACCGTTTCCATCATTGCAGAGTTCTCTTGGAGACCAGTTCTTAAGGGATGCCGTGGATGAGGGCAGGATGTCCAATGGCAGGAACTGAGCACAGGCTGAGTTCCTGGAACTGACGTAAGGAAGAAAATCAGCCTGATGAGCCAGCTGGACTTAAGAAGTGGGCCTAGGAGCGGAAGCTATGGCAAGACTTCTTTTCACAACCCTTTCAAACACAGGGTTTCCAGCCTGTACTTAAATTCCTGTGATAGATAGCTCACGACCCTTCCTCTCAGGCCGCATCCTAGAGAAGAGAACAAGGAGCCAGGAGCCAACAGGCCCACTTCCCACGAGCTTCACAGTTTACTGACTGTGCACCTTGGGCAGGTTGCCTAACCTAAGTTTTCTTCTCTGTGAAATGGCAATAATTTTAACTGCTTCATATATTGTTGTATTAAGATATATATATATATATATATATATTTTTTTTTTTTTTTTTTTTTTTTTTTGAGACAGAGTCTCATTGTGTTGCCCCAGCTAGAGTGCTGTGGCATCAGGTTAGCTCACAGAGCAACCTCAAACTCCTGGGCTCAAGCAATTCTCCTGCCTCAGCCTCCCAAGTAGCTGGGACTACAGGCATGCACCACCATGCCCAGCTAATTTTTTCTGTATATTTTTAGTTGTCTAGCTAATTTCTTTCTATTTTTAGTAGAGATGGGGTCTCACCCTTGCTCAGGCTGATCTCAAACTCCTGAGCTCAAACGATCTGCCCACCTCGGCTTCCCAGAGTGCTAGGATTACAGGTGTGAGCCACCGCGCCCAGCCTTGTATTAAGATATAATATGTAATTAGTATAATATCTGGTATGTAGTGGGTGGGTGCTCAGTAAAATATTATTGTCTGTAAGTTTCACTTATTAATCCTAGTTCTCTAACTACAGAAAATCCATTTTGTTAGCCCTTCAGGTATTTGATACCAATCTTTCTTTCAACCAATATTTATTGAGCCCTGTGTTCCAGGAGTTTGCTCCTGCGCAGCTTATGGTCTAGTGGGAGAGGCAAGTATTTAAAAAATGCATGCACAAGTATACGTAAAATTGCATGTATAGTAAGTACTGCAAAAAAGAGATTTGTGTGCTCTGAGGCATCAATAGGGGGTTTGACCTTGTTGGAGAAGTCAGAGAAGATAGCTGAAGGGCAAGAGGGAGTTAACAAGGCAGAGACAGCAGGGAAGGTTGTTCCAGGTGAGGAAACAGCATGCTACAGAGACCAAGCAGTTGGAAGGCCTGTGGCCCACTGGGGGAAAGTGAAAGAAGGCCGGTGGTACACAGGAGAGAGACAGGGAGGATACTGGAGCAGCACATGGGGGCCAAAACAGACCAGGAAGAGTTTGTTCTTTAATATCAGTGAGAAGCCACTAAAGGGTTTGAAATAAAGGGTTGGAGTTGGATTTATGCAGGGAGTGTGAGCAGATCTGGGTGATCAGCTAGACCTCTGGTCCAGGCAAGATAGAGAAAGCGTGTGCCAGGAGGACAATGGAGACAGAGATAATGACCCCAAGGGAGATTTTAGAGGCAAATTAGCAGGGCTTTGTGCTGGACTGGTCATGTGCAGTGAGGGTAAGGGGAAAGGGATGTCAGGGATGACACCTTAGGCTTGGTGAGGTGGCTTATGCCTGTAATCCTAGCAGTCTGGGAGGTTGAGGTGGGAGGATCATTTGAGGTCAGGAGTTGGAGACCAGCAAGAGCAAGACCCTGTCTCTACTAAAAATAGAATAAATTAGACTGGCATGGGGGCGCATGCCTGTAGTGTCAGCTCCTTGGGAGGCTGAGGTAGGAGGATGGCTTGAGCCCAGGAGTTTGAGGTTGCTGTGAGCTAGGCTGACGCCATGGGCAACAGAGTGAGACTCTGTCTCAAGGAAAAAAAGGATGACACCTTGGGAAGTTTGTGCATCTAAGTGGGTGATGCTGCCACTCTACCAAGTCAGGAGACTGTGGAAGAGGAGCAGGTTTGGACATAGCGAGACTGACATTTAAATGAACTCCAGGTGGTCTAGGGCTTAAAGACAAAGTTCTGGGCTCGGAGATTTGGGCATCATCGGGCTCACTATTCTGGGTTCTGGCCTCCAAACGCTAACCTGAGTGCCTGACCTAAATCATGGTACACAGTGGTCTGGCCTGTGTAGGTTTTAGCAGGACTATTAGATCTGTGACCTGGGCCCTGAGGGCCTATTAATTCAGCCTCAGATTAAATTGTCTGTATTGTTATCATCATCCCGTTGCTTCACTTTGGAAACATCATCAACCAAAACCCCAAGGTCTTTATTCCACATGAAAAGCCTTTAAGACAGGACTGCTTTATCCAATACTTGCAACCGATTTTTTCCCCTTTGCAACCAAATTTGAACTCTGCTAAATGCTCTCTTGGCAGCTGTGGCTCATCCTTCCAAGCCTCTGAGATAATTTAGATTCTTGGTTCTGGCTCCCATCCCAGCATCTCGTACCCATTGGGCCATTTGCACACTCGACCAGCCTAATCCAGGGATTGTCCACCTTGGACTCCCAGACCTCAGAGGGTCCTAGAATTGGGGCAAGAAAAAGAAATTACACCTTCACTTTTACTAACCTCTAACTGAAAATGAGCATTTCCTTCAATTATGAATATGGGCCAAACCCCCACATATTAATAGTATTAGCAGTAACCTGTGACTTATCACTAATAGACAACTATGTTTATATCCCACTACAGTTGTAAAAATCTCAAAGTATTGTTTATTCTCATTGCTATTTAGAAAATATAAGTAGTTATGATGCTTGTTGCTAGATCTTATTAAATGTATCAACAAGAAGCACGTATATTACTATATCATAATTTCTTAACATTTTGGTAAACTGTATCAATTGGTTTCCTTTGTAATCCTACACATTTTATTTTATGGGTTTTAAAACAATTCTGAGAAGGAATCAGATCTCTCCAGACGGCCAAAGGGGTCCAGGGCACAAAACAAGATTCCGAAGCACAGGCCTGACTGACCCGCTGCAGCCCTGGCAAGGGGCTGGGTCATGCAGAAACAGAACACGATACTGGGCAAGACAGGTGGTGGCCAATGGAATGGGGAGAGGAAGGAAAAAGAGAAGGAAGACAAGAAATGGGCCAGGAGAGAGGGGCAGGAGAAAGATTTTATTAAAAACCCTAGAAAACACACAGCTATGAAAAACTCAACCTTTATTATTACCTGCCTAATGCAGGGGATTAAAATTGCCTCAAGCTAGGTCCATATATTAGTGTAAAAATCTGTGTCTCTCCCCCCAAAAATGTACAAACCCCATGTGATTATAGAAAAACCAATATGGCAGCTACAATAGAGATGTCCAACACCAGGGCCACAGGCCACTGCTCCCTCTTTCCCCCTAATCTCAATATTTACTCACAGAAATGGACAGGCTTAGAGAGTTCTAGCTACAACGTGAAAGGTGGGAAGCTGGGGTGACTGAAGGCTGGGCAGGGGCCACCCCAGGTCCAGTGCTCCAGGTGGTGGAGGAGGAAGAACCCAAAGCCGAGGACAGTTGCGGGAGCAAGCACAGGGAGCAGCTTTCTCCCCTCTTGTCTTCCTCCCTCCCCCAGATTCTCAGCTAGTGGGGTCCAGTGTGTGACAGGAAGAGAGGCTGGGGGCACAGCCACCTCTCCAGGAACCAGTGTTGTCCAGTGGGGCCCAGGAGCTCCGAGAGTCCATGTCCAGTGTCTGCCCTGTATTTGCCCCACCCTTCCCCAAGAGCGGCTAGAGGGGTCAGGAGGTCCGATCCACAGGGCCAGCTGGAGGGCGGCGGGGACTTCTAGGAAGGAGGAACAGGAAGGAGACATAGAGCGTGTCCAGGCAGGCCCAGCCCACCTGCAGTCACACTGCCTCTCTCAGAGGTGACGGGCAGTCAGGAGGGGAGTGAGGTGGGGGTGTCGCTGGCTCCTCTTGTTTCAGTGTCACTGGCAGCTGATGCTGATTCACGCTGTGTTGAGCGCGTCCTCTGCCAGGAACCGATGCAGCTGGGAAAAGGGTGGTCGCTGCTCAGGCTCCCGGCTCCAGCACCCAAGCATCAGCTCATACAGGCCCTGTGGGCAGGCAGGTGGCCTGGACAGGTACACCTGCATTGTCACCATGTAAAGGAGGGGCAGGGGACCAGTGCTCTTTAGTCTCCAGATGTCCACGTCATGCTCTGCCTACCCCCACCCCCAACCTCACACCCATCCCCCACTCCACTCTGACCTGCCGGCCCTGGTCCCGGAAGAATTCGCCCGCGTTCTCGATGACTTGCTCGTCAGTGAGCTGCCCAAAAGGCTGGGCCCTGCAGAGCATCAGCACCTCCCACAAGGTCACCCCAAAGGCCCACACGTCACTGGCAGTTGTGAACTTCCCCTGGCACACGGAGAGGGCGACAAAGGCAGAGCAGGGCATCAGGCAGCACAGACTCTGCTCCCCTGCCGCCCCTCTGGCTCTGCCTTCTCTCCACGGTCCCCCTCCTGGGTCCTGGCCCATCTCCTCCCACCCACCCCATTTTCTGGTCCTGACCCTATCTCCCCACCCAACCCCTTCGGTCTCCAGCTTCTTCCTGCCCCTTATCTCTAAGCTCTGTGCCACCCTGACTCCATGCCGCCGGTACCCACTCCTGGCCCCTGGCCCCTTCCCATCATACCACAGCACCCTGCTTTCTCCAGTCCCTTGGGCCAGGGGGAAGCGCAGCCCAGAGAAGGCGACTGGCTGGGGACACCAGAGCTGTTAGTGGCAGCCGGTGCTCCCCTCGCTGTCCTGGTCCTGCTGGCCTGTCTCCAGGTTGCTCACCATGAGGATGCACTCCCAGGCCATCCACCGGATGGGCAGCACTGCCCGGCCCTGCACACGGTAATAGTCCCCGGCGTAGAGGTTCCGGCTCATGCCAAAATCTGCGATTTTGATGGTGAAATTCTCCCCAACCAGGCAGTTCCGCGTGGCCAGGTCCCGATGTACAAAGTTGAGTGTGGCCAGATAGCGCATGCCTGAGGCGATCTGGGCCGCCACATGCAACAGCATCGGGTAGCTGAGAACGGGAGGCCACAACCGAGGGTCATGGGGGACAGCTTCACAGATTCCTGTCCAGAAGATGAAGGGGACCCCTCTCCCCAGGGCAGGTCACTCCTGCTCCCCAAGCTGAGAAGGAATGCCCACGCAAGGCCGCGTGGCTTCCACTCAACCTCTCTGGGCCACCAACCCTAGGGAGCTCTTCTTGGACTGTGCTCCCCAATCTGGACATGGGGGGAGGAGGGCGAGAGAGGGCAGAAGGGCAGTCACGGCAGGGCTCAAGTTCCTCCCCACCCTCACACCGTCATCTCCAGCCTTTCTGTCCATGGTCTTGGACTAACATGTCACATGTTCCTCATGCCAGTGCCTCCTGGAACCCCTCCCAACCTCCCCGCCCCACGCTGCACTCTTTCCCTCCAGGCTGCAGTGAGGGGAGAGGAGACCCCTTGGGGAGCTGGTTGGGGGGGTGGGTACCTGATGGTGGGCCCCTGGGCAGCCTCCCCATCCCCAGGGGCACCCTCGGCCGCCTTGTCCTCCAGCTGGTGGGCACTGAGGAACTGGTTCAGGTCGCCGTTCTCCATGTAGTCAGTGATCATGCAGAGGGGGTCGTCCTGCACACACACGCCCAGGAGCCGGATAATGTTGGGGTCCTTGAGCCTCGACATGATCTTCACCTCCTTCAGGAAGTCATTCCTGGAGAGGCAGGGGGAAGGTGGGAGGAGCGCCCAGGGGGCAGCCTGCACCTGCCCTTCTGCTCAGGTGGACCAGGCACCCCTACCCGCAGCACAAACGCAAACCCCTCTCCAAGACAGCACCCCGGTCGGTCTCCGTCATAGCTCTCGCTAGGTTGCTCCCCACCCTCCACAGCTTCCAGACGCCATCCCTGGTCCTCACCTGGCATTCTTGGTGGCATCTGGCCGTAGGATCTTGACAGCTACCAGCAAGGGTTGTCCCTTGCACACGTTAAGGGGGAAATCAAGACTGACCAGATCTTGAGGGCTCTCTACCTCACACAAGTGCACCTGGAAAAAGATCTTTTGCTAGGGGGACACAACAAGGCTCACTGAGGTCCCAGGGTCAAATGGGGCAACACAGTCACAGATGACTAAGGCTCCTGGCTGGGGGGGACATGCAGGCATGGCCCCAGCACCCCCAGTTGGGCCAGACCCTACTGATGGCCGTGCAGGCATCCTCCTTACCTCCCCAAACTGGCCCTCGCCAAGCTTCTCCTTGAAGCGGAGCCTTGACCGGGGGAAATCCACTCTGGGGGGCCCGTCCCCAACCGCCCCTGGGGGCAGTGCAGGCACAGCATAGGTGTTGCCCCCGGTGACGCCCTGCAGGGTGACAATGTCAGCCTCGGCATAATGGGGGACGCTGTTCTGGGGAGGCGGGGGCAGAAGCGGAGCACCTGGCTTCTCGGGCTCCATATAGTCCCCACTGCAGGCTGGAGGGGTTAGGGGAAGAAGACAGGACAAGGCATCAGGGACAGCGCCTGAGAGCGGAGTTCTCCACACCCCAGACTCCCAGAAGCCCCAGTCTCCAGTCAGGTGAGAGACTAGGTCTGCCCTGTGTCTTCCCTGCTCTTCCACCCACCAACTTGGATGAGAGTTAGCTATTCCAGAGGTTTTCAAGGCAACGGAAACAGTTGAGCAAAACTGCCATAATCTTACTCTCTAGGCATCTCCCAACACAGCTCAAGAGACCCTGAACTAAGTCCCGGCTGGAAGAGAATTCCTCTACCCACCTTGAAAGAAGGATGGTCCCAGCATCCAGTCACCCTTCCCTTTCCAAACTCTTGGCCTGTTCTTACAGGCTCCCTCCCCGCCACTACTCTCCCTACTTTCAGCCTGGCTCCACCCTACCCAGCACCCAGACCCTCCCACCCAACACACCAAGCTCAAAGACAAGCAGAGACGGGCACACAGAGAGGGAGAGGGTGACAGTTCCTCACAGCCCAACACAGGAAAGGAAGCGTACACACAGGAGTGGAAGCACCTGTCCCCTCTTAGCCCCGAGGAAGGGGCCACAGTGAGAAGGCAACACCGAGGGGGGGAGGAGCAGACAGAAGGATGGGGGTGAGAGCCTTCACCTCTGGGACTGCAGAGAGAAGACACATGTGGGAGACAGGGCAAGCGCCCAGGGTGAGGCCCTCCTCCTGCAGCTCTAGAGAGGGAACAGAGGAGGAGTCTCAGGAGAGCCTGGGGCCACCGCAGCAACCTCCTGCCTAGCTCTGGAGAGCGGAAGAGATGGTGGGGCAGAGCTGAGGACCAGTAAGCTTTCTACTCCCCAGTTCAAGGGGGAGTCCCTAAGAAGGAGAAGCAGCAGCAGAGGTGAGCTGAGGGCACAAGAGCTTCCTCCCTGGGAGCTCAGGAGAGCAGAAGAGGCCACGGTGGGGCGAGGAGGGATTGCAAGGTGTGAGGGCTTTTCCCTGCCCCAGCAGAAGTGCAGGGAGGCTGGCGGAGCCCAGGGCAGAGGGGCTTACCCTGGGTGTTGGTGGGTTTGGCCCAGGCAGGTGTGGGGGGGCTGGGGCCTCGAGGGGGACGGGCGTAAGTGGCCAGAAGGAGGCGGTAGGCTGGATTGGAGAGCAGCAACGCTGTCGGGAGAAGGAGGGGGGAGACACAGGGAAGGGAATGAGACTCGAGGCTGGACAGACAGGGAAACCCAGAATAGGCCAAGACCAGGGCTGATGGGAATGACTGTACTAAGAGACAGAGATGGGACAGAACAAGGACCTGGGGAGTGACAGATAGCTGGAGAGATGGTGAATTGGTGGACAGACAGATTGAGGATGGTGGGAAAGACGAATGGATGATGGATGGATGATAAACAGATATTTGAATAGTTGTATAGATGGACAAATGGGTATGTGAATGTAGACAGATGGATTGATGAATATGGATGGATGGATGGATGGACGTTAGATGAATGGAGGGCAGATGGATGGATGGACAGTAGGATGGATGTTAGATGAAAAGAGGATGGATGGATGGATGGACGGACGGACAGGCAAATGAATGTATAAATATAGATAGAAGGATGGACAGAAGGAAGAAACATGGTGAATCTAGGAAAAAGAAGAGGGGCACGGGAGACACAATGAGAGGGCACAACAAAGAAGACAGAGAGATGAATGCAGATACAGAGACGGGATGAGAGCACAGGGCAGTATGCATAATACATGGGAAATTTGGGGTGGAGATTATATGGTAGGGCCATGGAGTGACATGGACAGTACCCAGGGGCACAGAAATAAGAAAATGAGTTGAGAATGGGGAAGACAGGAAAAGAGGAGAATGGGAAAGGAGAGGGGAAGGGATACGATAAGAAAACAGGCAGAGAGGACGGAGCTGGGCCTGGAACCAGGTAGGTCTTACCAGAGCCGCTGGGGACACAGGGAGCAGAGTGGGGCGGATTCCCATGAGGCCGGGGCTCCTGGTAAGGGGGTGGCTCCCGAGGACCTGAGCGGTTGTTGATGAGTAAGGTGTCCCCAGGGACAGAAAGATGGACTGTCAGCTCCTCTTCCAATACCCGCCGCTCGGCCTGGTCACGGGAGCGGGAAGGGTTAGCTGCGGCCGCTGCTCGGCATATGCGGCACTGTCTCTGGCGCTATGCCTACTTCTCCCCTCACAAGCGCCTGCGTCTGCAGCTACGTTAGCTCCATCTCACGTAAAGAAAGGGGCCTGTAATCCTAGCTCTCTGGGAGGCGGAGGCGGGCGGATTGCTCGAGGTCAGGAGTTTGAGACCAGCCTGAGCAAGAGCGAGACCCCGTCTCTACTATAAATAGAAATAAATGAATTGGCCAACTAACATATATATACAAAAAATGAGCCAGGCATGGTGGCGCATGCCTGTAGTCCCAGCTACTTGGGAGGCTGAGGCAGGAGGATCGCTTGAACCCAGGAGTTTGAGGTTGCTGTGAGCTAGGCTGACGCCACGGCACTCACTCTAGCCTGGGCAACAAAGCGAGACTCTGTCTCAAAAAAAAAAAAAAAAAAAAAAAAGAAAGGGAAGTTCAGGAGCATCTAAGTAAATGCCTTGACGTCCCACGATGGGATTCCAACCCAATTCTGACCCGTCCACGATTAGCAACCTCAGCGCGATCACCCCCACTGGGGTGTGCCAGGCCTCTCGCGGCCGCCAGCTCTGCTCTCCACCTGCTTCCGCCCCCAGAGGCTGACCAGCTTAGACTGTCCCCACAGCCCGGGTCTGGGCTGGCCAGAGAGGCGCCCCTGCAGGAGTCTGGCGGGGGCAGAAAGCGAGGCCCTCCCTGGGGACCGGAGTCCGCCGCCCCTGTCAAGGCGCCCTCTCCAGACTCGCTCCTCCGGGTCAGGGGGACTCCCCCACACCGGCCCGCCCCTTTGGAAGTGGTCTCTTTACTGCGCCCTACTCTGGTGAAGTGATGCTAGGAGACTGCGCCCTGCAGCCCCCTGCAGCCTGCAGCCCCCGCCGGCCCCGCGCCCCGCGCACGCGCCCCCGCCCCGCGCACGCGCGGCCCACCTTGCTGAGGAGCCTGCGCCAGTGCAGCCGCCATAGCATGAGGGCGATGATGAGCAGCAGCAGCAGGATAATGGCCACCAGGCAGCCGATGAGGATGGCGGTCGGGCTGCCCTCGGCCTTGGCCACGGGCTGCTGGCCCCTGGGCTCCAGCTCTGGCAGAGGCAGAGGGTCAGCACGCAGAAGGGGAGGCTCCCACCCGACCAGAGGGAGGCCCTGGGAGGGACAGCGCGCAGGGTCCACACGCCCAAGGGGGCCCCGGGCGCTCACCCAAGCTGCTGACATTGGTGGGAGGCGGGCCAGGCGGCCACCAGGGGGCTGGTGGGAATGTGCCCCCCAGAGCCAGAGAGGAGTCGTTCACCACATCTGGGGAGAAGCAAGAGGAGAAAGGAGGGAGTCAGAGGAGGGAAGCGCTGAGCTGCCAGTAAAGGGCAAGAGCAGGGGTGACTCTCAGTCACAGCTGGAAGGTGCCAGCTGGGGCAGACGTTAACCCTTTAGTTGCTGGATGGTGGGGACATGGAGGCCTCCTAGGGGGGAGCCCAGTATGAGGGTCCTGGGTGTCCACCAGGTTTGGAGAAGAGGCCACTTCTCAAGTAGTACAGAAGTATCTCCGTGCTTTAACAGCAGTACCTCACACAGGCTCAACATCAGCACAAAGGAAAGACAGAGACATGCAGGGAACCAGGCGCAGAAGGGGCACTCCTGGCTGAGAAGCCTCACAGGTGACAGATAGGGTGCCAGGAGCGGGTATGCTAGGCATACTGCAGGGTTAGGAACCAAGTCAGCTGGCAATCCAGGGCTTACCAGAGATGAAGGAGATCTCACTGAAGAGTAACCAGGGCCCCGCAAAGAAGAAGCGGCACTGCAGAAAGCGGCCCACGCGGCCGCCCAGGGGCACCAAGACAGCCCGGGCTCTGGGGTCCCCCAGGCTGCCCCCTAGGTTGTGGCGCATGGGCTCCCCCTCCCAGGCCATGGCAGGGCCCCGCTTGAAGTGACATTCTACCCCACCAGGCAGGCGGGCTCCCAACGTGTGCATGTTGTTACAGTGGACCTGGGGGAAGGGAGGAGGGACAGAGAGTCAAGGCCAGGAGAGCCCTGGGGATGCCCCAGCAGCACATAGCCTGGCTCAAAGCCCTCCCCGAGAGCTGGACTCACTCACCTTCATGGCCTGGAAGGCCCTCAGCCGGTCAAACTCAAACTCCATCTCCACACAGCCGCTGGGGAAGCTGTGGTTGCTCCATCCCACATAGTCATAGCCTGGCCAGACCCGCAGCTCCTGGCTCTCCCTAAAGTCATCCAGCCCCACCACACCGTCTGCCAGCTGGCCTAGACCGCCATACTGCAGCCTGGACAGGAGGGGACCAGGAAGAGGAGAAGGGAAGAGGGTCTTGACGTCCAGGCACTATGTCCTCAACCCCCAGTGCCTGGCCCGCATGCACTCGTCCCCCCCACCCCAGTGCAGCTCACTCCTCCCTTCTCGCCACCCTATCACGGGCACTTTGCAGGTCACACCCTGCACAGAGGCACCGCCTGAAAGAGGCGCCATTTGATCTATGATATATTTATTGTGACAATTTCCAACAGATGTGTGTTAGCAAAGGGGTGCCTTTTCTTAATTTGCACAAAGTGTCATATGGGCTGGTGGCCACCCTGCTGTCCTTCATTCCCAGTCCTGTCCCTTGAGGCCCCACCTAACAGATACCTCCCCCCAGTTCTTCCATCTCACTGCCCATCAGCCCCCGCACTCTGTCCTCCCTCCCACCCCAGGCCCATGTCCTGTAGGGCCCATTCCCCTCACCCGCCAACGGTATGTCCATCATAGGTGGAGTCGTTGAGGTACACAGCCTCTGACAGGTACATCGTCTGCCCCACAGGGGTGGTGTAAGACAGGAGTCCATCTGGGCAGGGCAGGAGAGGGGTGTCAGGCACAAAGCCTCCATCCTGGCCCTGCATCAGGCCAGGCAGGTTTCAGATCCCTTTCTTTTATCCCTCCTCTTGCCCACTGGTGCTGAGACGCTTCCTTACAGGAGGAGGAGAATCCTGGATACCCAGCTCCACGTTCCCCACCCCACCAGGCCAGGAAACTGTCTGCAGGGGCTGCAGTACTCACCCCTCCACAGGCAGCCATAGAGCTCCACCCGCAGACAGACGCTCATGACCCGGTCAGCCCGGGGATAGAAGCGAACCAGTTGGGCGACCATGGGGGGCCCAAGGTCCTTGAGCACCACTCCCTCAGGGTCCTCATTACCTGAGATCACCTAGGGGCCAGGAAGCAGGGGTGGACAGGTGGGTAGGGCTCCATGTCAGAGCTCCCTTCCCAGCCACCAGCGGCTCCCTGCTCCAGCCCACAGTGGCCACTGAGAGATCAGTGAGGGGCGGCACCGAGCACACAGCACTCGGGATGCAGCCAGGCATTTGGAGCAGAGACTCTGACCCTCTCTCGGCCCTGACAGTCTGTCCTCAGACTCCAGGCTCAGCTCCCCACTCTTTGCTGGCTCCATCCATTCATCTCCAGGACACACATCCCACTGTGCCCAGATTCTACCCAGTCCTCACAGCCCTGCACCCCTGCCTCAGCTTCCCCTCCTGCTCCATCCCTCTGTTCACTTAGCAGCAGTCGGCTGAGAGCCCACTCTGTGCCAAGCCTGTTCCCAGTGGTGAACGTCAGTCCCTGCCTTCGTGGACTGAGAGTCCAGCTGGGGAAACAACTGTGAAGAACGGGGGCAGGGGGCAGGGACAGACCAGTGAGATACGGGGTTCCCTGTGACACCCTTCCCCTCTGGGCTGGAGGGCAGCGATGAGGTTTCTCCTACTTGGAATCTCAGTCCTGCAGGGGCAGAAAAGGCTCCGTGGGGACACCTCGGGGAGAACTGAATGGGGTGTGGGAGAGTGCATGCATATGTGGAGCTTCCCAGGCAGAGAACAGCCGGTGGAAGTGTCCTGAAGCAGCGGGAAGGGGCCCTGGCTTGTTCCAGCAGGAGCAGTGTGGCCAAGGAGGAGCAAGAAGCAGGAGCTGCAGGCAAGAGCCAGGCCAGGCCGGGCTTGCTGCACCAGTGAGGGGCCCAGCTTTTGCTCTGGCAGAGTGGAAGACAGTGGAGGGGTGGGAGTCAGCTGCACTGTTTCTGATTTACGTGTTCTAGGGTCCCTAGACGTAGCCTAGGTGGAGGTTTGACTCCAGGCAGAAACAAGGAGAACAGTTTAGTGTCTACTGCATTCATCTAAGGCTAGGGCAGTGGAGCTGGAGTGGTGAGGAGAGATAGAATTCAGGAATGGCCATGGAGGTAGAACACATGGCCCTGCTTATGATTTAGAAGAAGGAAGTGAGAGAAGCAGAGGGATTGGGGATATCACCTTAGCTTACAGCCTGGGCAACTGGGCAATGGTGGCACCATTTCCTATGCTGGAAAATGAGGGAGGAGAAGCGGGTTCAGGGTGGGAGTGGGAGTCAAGTTCAGCTTAGGAAGTTAATGGTAAGTCTGAGACACCCATTAGACAACTAGATGGAGAGGTCCAGAGGTGGTCAGGTTTGCAGTACTGGATGGAGCTCAGGGGCGAGGCTTTGCTGGAGATGACATGAACTAGAGTGTCATCAGTGTACAGGTGGTGTTTAAAGTGTAGCTAGAAGAGAGGAGAGCCAACCTCCCCTGGGCACTGCCCGTCTGCCTCACCTCCTGACCCCAGCGGTCTCTCCAGTCCATCCAGCGGTGGCCGTCCCGGGAGTAACGCAGCCGGTAGCTCCGGGAGAACTCCTTGCCCAGACCCCCAGCATGCCGCCCCTGGGTGCCCACCAGAGCCACCAGGTGCAGCCGCTGTAGATCCACCTGCAGGTACTCCTCCTCCTTGGGAAACACCGACCCTGCAGGGCACCATGCCCCGTCCCCGTCACTGCTCTCCAGCCTGGGAAGGGGAGGGAGGTCACAGGGAACATGTGGCCCTTGGTCTGTCTCTGTCTCTAGTATTTAAACCCCCACCCCAGACTTCAGGGCTTTTATTGGCATGGGCCTTCTTGAAGCCTCTTGGCTTGGGCAGAGGAGTTAGAAGAGCAAGTAGAGGTCCCAGGAGCCCCCCTTGGGGCAGCCCCAGGTGTGCCACTCACCTGCTGTGGCGGGCAGCCGTGGAGTCTGACCAGGAGCTGGAGGCAGAGATGTCACTGTCCGGGATGGTCCGGTCCTGCATGCCCAGGGCATAGCGGCACTTGGCTGGGTGAAAACAGGCAAGTGACTGGTCAAGGCCCTCGACTCTCTGCCTCTCAAGCCCCACTCTTCAGGGACCCGTGATTCAGTCTCCTCACCAGGGTCAAAATGTCCCTTCATGTCAGCATCTCCAGTTGCCACCAAGAACAGCAGCAGTAGAAAAGAGAGGGCCCCTGGCCCCATAGCTCTTGATCCCTCCGGCCTAAGGGGGTGGGGACAGCATCTCTGCAGGGGACGAAATGGGTAGTGGGTAAGTTAATCAGAGGGACCGAGTCACAGCCAAGAGCAACAGACAGAGACAGAATGGGCCGCTTTGGGGACAGCAGTAAAATGACAACAACAGGAATTGTTTAACGGTATCAAGTATATTTTTAGAATGTTTTCCATGTGCCAGACACTAGGCTAAACCCTTAAACAGAATCCATAATTTTATCTTCAGTCCCTTCTTAAGGTAGATACTATTACTGTCCACATTTAACACATGAAGAAACTGGGGCAGAGATCAGTTTAACAACTTGCCTAAAAAAGCCCCATTCTCCCAATCAATAAAGAGCAAAACACCCCATAAACAATGGCTCTGAACAAACATCTGTAAAAAATGCTTATAACATATATGGTAAAAAGGGTTACTAATTATAATAAACTAAAGCCTCTTACTAATTGACAAGAAAAAAACCATATAAACAACCCAAGAGATATAGCCAAAGCATCTGAACAGTCATTTCATAGAAAAGCAAAGCCAAATTGGCAACATACATTTTTTTAGTCAAACTCACTAGCATCAGAGAAATACAAATCAGATTGACAAAATATTTTTTTTTCTTTTTTGAGACAGAGTCTCACTTTGTTGCCCAGGCTAGAGTGAGTGCCGTGGTGTCAGCCTAGCTCACAGCAACCTCAAACTCCTGGGCTTAAGCGATCCTCCTGCCTCAGCCTCCCAAGTAGCTGGGACTACAGGGATATGCCACCATGCCTGGCTAATTTTTTCTATATATATATTAGCTGGCCAATTAGTTTCTTTCTATTTATAGTAGAGACGGGTCTCGCTCTTGCTCAGGCTGGTTTCAAACTCCTGACCTCAAGCAATCCACCCGCCTCGGCCTCCCAGAGTGCTAGGATTAGAGGCGTAAGCCACTGTGCCCGGCCACTTAAAAAATATTTTTTAAGTGGAGAGTGATGAAACGGAAGCCACCGTGTACAATGGTGGAAATGTAACACTATCAGCCATTTGGAAAGCAATCTAGCAATATCTATTATAATTAAAAATGCACGTCCTTTTCAACCGAGCATTCCCCCTTCCAATGATCTAGCCAGACGGAGGGGGAGAAGCACTAGGAAGAACAAATGTCCAAAGATATTTGTTATGGCACCTTTTGTAAGAGCCCAAATCTGTAAGCCATGTGAATGCTTGCAAAGGATGGGCTGGGGAAAAAAATAAAGGTTCATGGACTACTATGCAGCTATGAAAAGTAGCAAACTAGCAATAAATCTGACAGTTCAATTTCCTATGTGACTGTTGAATATAAAAAGCAAGATGCAGGGGTGGAGAGAGGGCAAAATAAATAAATAAATAAATAAATAAGAGAGAGAGAGAGAGAGAGAGCGAACGCAAGATACAGAAGTATGAAGAATTAGCCCACCTTTTGAAAACAATGAATAAAGAAACCTCCATGTTTGTATATACACCCATATGTATGCCTAGAGAGAGGTGACATAATAGACTATAACAATAAAACATAACATGAGTTAACATGAATGAGGAAAGAGAAGAAAAAGCAAACAAAAAGGGTAAAGACAAGCTGATTGTACTATTTTTCTAAATCCTATAACATAGGGTAACATTGATGCATTCATGTAAAATCACATGATATGTAAAAAAGTTTAAAGAATATCAAAATTATTTTGATTTTTAAAAAATAAAGTGTCCCAGAAAAAGGCTGGGCAATTCCTTGTGAAGGATATGATAGAATTAAACATTGGATAAGCCTGGGCCAGTGGACCCTGGTCCCTCCAGCTAGAAGCCCAGAATTCTAAGGGGGGGAGTCCAGCGCCTCTAATCTTACTGTCCTCTACAGCCCTGCGGCTCAGCAGCATGGGCAGCACCCGGAATCTTGGCTGCCCTGGACCTGCTGAACTGGAATCTGCACAATCCCTGGTGATCTGTGCCCATTAAAGTTGGAGAATCCCCACTCTGTTCCGCCCAGGCCCAGGCAGCTCACTCCACCTAAGACCATTCCAGCAGGCATCTCCTTGCAAACCCAAGCAGCTCCTCCCCTTGCCCCAGCTGAAGGAAAAGTTATCGTAACAAGTGCTGGTCCCAGAGCCCTGCACTGATTCTCCAGGCCCTGGAATCCTGAGGGACTTCTGCTCACAGCCCTACCCCACCCTGCCATCAGCTCCAAAGCATCCCGTCCCCAGCTCTCCCTGCTCTGCCTTCCCCTCCTGAGACCCAGACATCCCGTCCCCAGTCCCCTCTTTCAGAAGGTGGCTGCCTCTGAAGGAAGAGCCCAGGGCTGACAAAAAAGCTGAGTTGCCTTGGAGATGAGGGTGGGTCTGAAAACCAGGAAGCCAGGTCACCCTAGGAGGTAGGAGGAGTGGGGGATACTTCCCCATCCCTTTGTCCTCCTCCAGCTGCTCCCACAATGCTCTAGGGCAGGACTGTAAGAGGCAGCTGGGACCCCAGAGCTCTGGAGCAGCAGCTGAGGGGGATGCCTGAGTTGTAGGGGACACTTGGTCATCAAAGGAGAGGCTAGAACCAGAAGACATCATGCCTGGTCCCTTGGGGTCCAGCGCCATGGTGCAGGGGAGCAGGCTGCTGGAGTCCCAGGAGACTGGCCTGGAATTCCTGGGTGCCACTCTCCACCCCCCCTCTCTCGGGAACAGCAGGACTCTTGTTCCCCTGAGTAACCTTCATGCCTATCCCAGATGAGTCATCAGAGCCAGGCAGAGCCAAGAGGAGCCGGGGGGCAGAGACACAAAGACAGGCAGGCAGAGGATGGAGGCGGGGAAGACAGAGCGAGGCGGCTAGAGCAGCCTCAGAAACACAGACGGGCACAGAGACATCTGGGGCAACCCGTTTCCCAACATCTCCAGTCACCCCATCTCTCTCCACTGCATCTTGACCCCACCATCACACACGTGGACAGGCCCAGAAACCAACCCAATCCCACCCCACCCTGCTCCATTACAAAAAATTACAAGCCAGGGCCAGGCCAGCCTGCCACAGGCCCTTCACGCTCCCTGCCCACCTCCACCTCCCACCCAGACAGCACCACCCTCCAGCTCTGTACACACACACACCACACACGGTAAGACACGCAGACTTACAGAGCTGGCTGTAAACACTGGGGCTAAACGCAGCACACACAGCCCTCAGTACCTCAGACAACCCCTCAGACAGACTTCTGGAGACAGGACAAGCACGGCCACCAGTCCACACACAGCTCCATCCACGCCCTGGCATTCTTTAAAGTCCAACCCCGTCACCTAGTGAATAGCCACCTTCAGACACCTGTGAACATGAAATGACAGACACCACATCCTCCTGTGACCAGAAGACAGTGTGAGACACATGCGCACAGGCCCTTGGGCACATGATCCCCAGAGAACTGGGGCCCACCCCCTAACACACAAGGGTGACCAAGCCAGAAGGAAGTCAAGGGTGCAGGGAACAGGTGGGCAGGAAGAGTGACAATAGGATCAAGAGCCATTTCTCTGGTTCATTTCCCTATACATTCTGCTTTCACCTGTCTCTGCTGCATCACTCAATTCTGGAACCATCTACACCCCTTAGCAACAGTGAGCCAGAGCCCAGACCCTGGCAGGGGTGGAGGTGCTGGAAAGGAATGTCCAGCCAGCAGGGGACCTGTGCTGGGTGGGGGTCCTGGGTGCTGAGACCCTGAGGGCGGTGCTCCCTGGCAGCGACATTATCACTGACCATGGGGCATGGAAGAGCGGTGTCACTGGTAGGTTAGAGTGTCAGTTCCTCTCCGCTGGGCTGTGGCCAGGCTGTCCAACTGGGAGTTGGCTGGTGGAGGCTTAACAGCAGAAGCCTGTGGGACCGCCAGGTGGAGGGCAGGCCCTTTCTCCAGGGGGCAGATGAATGACTCCGTGGGGCTATATGGGAGCACCTGTCCTCCAGGCCTCAGTTCCTCCATGCTGAGTAGAGGGGGCCCGGGTCTTCCCAGTCTGCAGACAGTGAGCCAGCGCACTGGGGAGGCGGGCAGGGTCCGACTGAGAAGAGCTGGGCAACCAAGTACAGCCCGGGACGCCCCGCCTCGCTGCAGGCCCACCGCGCCCTCCGACGGTCCCTCTGGCCGCCGCGCCTCCCCAGCCCCAGGCCTCAGCCCGGGGGCCGCCGCCGCTGTCCCTACCTCTCATCGCACTTCCCGGCAGACCCCAGCGTCCGAGCCCGGAGCGGGGCCTCCTCGGCGGCCTGGCGAGCGGGGGCGCGGAGGGAGCCAGGGCCGGGAGCCGGAGGCGCCGGCGGGGCTCGGTGTCGGGAGGCGGCTCCCGCGAGCAGCTGTCGGGGGCCTGTTCCGGGGAGAGGAGCCAGGGCTGGGGCGGCTCGGGCCAGGCGCCGCCTCCCCCTCGCCTCGGCTCCCTCCCCTCCTCCCCGCTCCTCGCTCCCTCCCCTCGGCCTTCGCGCGCCAGATTCGGCTCGCAGCCCCCCACCGAGTCGTCCCCACGGCTCCCACGCCCGGCGCCGCCCGCCACTCCCGCCCGGCGAGGCCCGCGCGCCGGGCCTCCCCCAGGTAACCAGCCCCGGCCCCTCCCCGGCGCGGCAGCAGCCCGGCTCAGGGCCTCCCACACACGCAGGCCCCGCGAGGGCATGGCGCCCCTCCTTCCTCGCTCGGTTCCCGGAGAAAAGCGCAGGGAGCAGCCCCGGGGCACAGGCAGGAGCAGGTTCCCACCGGCCCGGCGCCCCGCCCCGCTGCGGGAGGGAGCAGGGAGGGAGCAGCGCTCACCTGTGCGGCCAGGCCCCAGGCCGCTCTTTCCACCCCGCCACCTTAGCTCGCCCCCGCACCCTCGGGCCCTCTTCCTCCAGGGCCCCGAGCCTGCGGCCGGTCCGCTCTCTTCTAGCCCCTTCCTCTCTCCCCTCCTTCGGTTCCTCTGCCCAGCTCCGCAGGGCACTCCCCAATCTTCTCAGGGACCCAGGCGCTGGCTCCCCTGGGCGCCCTGCCCTCCACAGCGCCAGCCTCCCTTAGGCCCGGTCCGCTCCGGCCCCGGTGGGAGCCCGAGGTCTGATCACCTGCCAAGAGAGGCCAGAAGCGGAGCCAGGGCAAGTGGGTGTGAGTTGAGGAGGATAGAGGCGCAGTGAGATCAGGCGCAGCCAGACGGAAGGGGAAAGAGACACCAGAAGCGCGCAAGGGGACAGGGCAGGCGGCCGCACGGCAGAGAGCTGCGGGGCGGGCGCGGGCGCACAGAAGAGCCCGTGGTGGAAGGCGCTCCGTCCGGCTCAGAGCCACGTCGGGCCCACCTCTCTCCACACCCCACACCTGCCAACCGCCTAGACCACCGCGCGGTCGCGGGAAGGTCTCTGTTGCGGATGCCCGCCCCATCGCACCTCACAGTACATAAAAACTCACACCCTGTGTGCAGTCCCATACAACAGCCCCCAAAAAGAAACGCCAAGTCCCAACCAGACAAGTACACAAAAGCACTGCCAGGAAGAGGCTGGCCTGTGGGAGAGGCCGAGGCACATAAGGGCACAAGTTCACACACCCTAGGACGCCCCAACTGCTGAGGGACCTGCTAACAGACAGCCCCACGGTCACTCGGAGAAATGCCTCTTCCCGCCTTCCCCTCCGTCAAGCCCCAGGGCGTCCTGGGGAGCACCTACCCCTCGGGAGACGGCGCGGGGGATCTGGGCCGGAGCGGCCGGGCCGGGGTGGGGCCGCGCTGGGGGCGGGGCCAAGGCTTCCCCGGGACTCACCTGGGCGGCCGGCAGCCCCGCCCTCCGGGGGCTGAGCTCCCGGGAAACGCAGGGCGGGCGGGCCGGCGGAGCCGCAGCCCCTCACACCCTGCTGGGACATTCCACACCCCAGGCCCGCGCAGGCCCGGGTCAGGCGGCACGGCCATGCCAGACGGAGGGGAGAGTAGGGGAAGCCAGGGAGTCTTGACACCTTTGTCCACTCTTCTCACTCCCTCGGGGGCAAGTTCTAGTTGGAGGTGCCCACCTTGCTCCAGCTCGGGGCTGGAGGAGTGGGGGTGATGCGGGACTGGGGCCAGCGGAGCCAAGTGACAAGAGATAGGGGCTGGAGCCGGCTGGAATGCGGGGCGGAGCTGAGATTCCCAGGGGCCAGAGAGGGAAATCCCAGCCATCCAGCGCCCGCCGGGGCCCGCCGGGGAGAGCAGCGCCAAAGACTGCCTGCTCACCCATCGCTGGGCCCCAAGCCCATCCCACATCTCCGCAGCACTCCCAACCCCAGAAGGCCTCCGGTGTCCTCCAGAACCCCCAGAATACCCTCTACCCCTCCCCATCCATGCCCTCCCATGGAGCTGCCCTCCCCTTCAGGCTGGTGGCCTCCTGCTGCCCAGGAAGGAGAGGAGGGGAAACAGCTGAAAACATGTGAGAAGAGGAATGTAGGAGAGAGGTAGGAGCAGCGTCAGGCTCGCACCAGCGAGAGTGGGAATGGACCAGATGGGCCCCACACTAGCTGCAGCTCCCTTCCTGCAGAGGCAGCTGCCTCTGGGGGAGCAGGCTGGGTATGCAGCTGGGGAGGGTGAGAAGCAACTAGTGGGGGGCAGGGCAAGGGGGTGGACAAGGCCCTGGGCATGAGTCAAGCCACCAAGTACAAATGGGAAACTGAGGGCCAGGAGCAAATGGGAAGGAAGAAATGACGTAGCTCTGGGAGAAAGATGAACCAGAGCTCAGCTGTGGAGAGCCTGGGGAGTGGAGAAAGAAGGGCAGAGGACCAGAGGAAGGAGGCCACCAATGGTCAGATACAGACAGTGGTGAGGGGACAGAAGACTCAGGCGGAGACTGGGGGTCAGAGAGCAGGAAGGTGGAGGCGAGGGCATGCACAGCAGTGGGAAGACCCGGGGACTCAGAGGAGGAAACTGAAGTTTGGGGAGAAAAGGGTGGACCACATAAGGGAACTGGAGAGGCCACAGAGGGGAAAGGGGGCAACAAACACCTCAGAGAGGAGGGAAGTGAGCAGCCTGAGAAGCAGGCAGACAGACCAAGATAACGAGGATGAAGAGAGAGAGAAAAAGGGTTGGAGTGAAACTGAGAGGTGGAGGAAGAAGAGGGAGACTGAAACAGGGCTGGAAACTAAGGGACACTGGGAGATGGGGCAGGTACAAGGCTGAGAAAGGAAGGGCACCTGTGGGACAGACCAGGGATCAAGCCTGTCTCTGGATGGCAGGACACCCAGGCCCAGCCCTCCCCTTGGGGACATCCTAGGCCCTCAGCCCACTTGTTGGCACCATGTCCCCCAGCTCTATTCCCCGTCGTCCTTCCTCTCCCCCCACCACACCTCCGGGGAGGGCCCAGCTCCAGTGCCCACTCCTGCCCTCCCAGTTCAGCTTCCTCCTTCTCACCTCCAGCTCGAGGTTCTCCTGGGTCCCAGTCCCCGCCAGTTTCAGACCCTTGGGGTTCCAGGTCTGTAGTTGCTGAGGCCGCCTGGCTTTGTCCCAGCATCCAGGCCCAGGCCCTGGAGCAGCTGCCTGGGCCAGCTGCGGCTGGCGGCTTCCACGTGACCATGGCAACCTAGTCCGGCTCCCCTCTCAGAGCCTCTCAGCCCCCGCAGAGAGGGAGGGAGCAGCCTGGCCCCAGAGAAAGGGAGGGGAGGCTGGGAACTGGAACTGAACCAAAGAGAGACCCCAGACAAAGAAACCCCAGACAAAGGGAGGTGCTGGGAGGCAGAGCTGGCAGAAAGCGGCACTGGCTAGCTGTGGCCAGAGCTTGGGCCTTGCTGGGGGAAAATCCATGAAAGAAAATACAAGGGGAGTAGGGAGGGAGCGGCACTGACTTGAGGTAGAGGAGAGAGATCAGAGTTGACTGGCAGTGGTCCTTTGGAGACCTCCTTCTGGATCCTGACAATTCACCTCCTTCTCCCAGGTCTTTGTACCCTGGGGAGAACCAGAATCCCAGTTTCTCAGTTGGCTGCCCCCAAAGTATTATATGCCCCCAATTACCCCAATGGCCAAAGGAAGTACCTGAGGCCAAAGCACCCTCAGTTTTCACAAAACCCCAATTTCAAACATTAAGAGGTCAATTTCTGACCTCTTAAATACAAATGGCATTGTCAGACCATATACTCCAGTTCTTGGTTTGGAAACTCTGATCCCAAAGCTGAAGGTGACTGATTACGCTAGGGAGGGTGGAGTAGGGAGGGAGGGAGTGATGCTGCAGCTCCCAGATCCCCAGGAAGAGGGGCGAAAGCAGGCTTTGCCTCTGAGGGGGGGACCGAAACTGCCACTGCCACTGCAGCATCCCAGTTCCCTCGCTAGTGAAATGGAGTCTGTTTAGATGACAATGAGATAGCAACCCTAAAGTACCGGCCCACTTGATGGAAGCAACCATCATAACCCCATTAACATGATCTTCCTTTGTAGCTTTCTGATGTGTCACCTGGGATCTCTGAGTTCCACCTCCTAATTCATTCCACAGAAGTAATTTAAGAGATTACCTAGGGCAGGGCTCTGACCCAGAGAGGCATTTACAGTCTGGAAAGGTGTAAGCAGGTATAGGTAAGTCTGTACTGCAGAAGAAAGGCCCCCCTCCCGTGCTGTAGCAGAGCTGGAGGGGCCGTGGCAATCCTGGGGAGGGACAGGCCAGGTCTTCCGGAGGGGGCCGGAGGCGACACTGAGGAAGACCTCATGGAGGAGCTGGGCTAGAACTGGCCTGGGGTCAGGTTGAGACTGAGGCGAGACAGCCAGGGCTGTTCCCGCTGAGGAAGCAGAGGCAGGCACCAGAGCAGAGCCAGGAAGGCAGATTTCGTAGTTTGGCTTATTCTGAAGGTGAGGAGGAAGGGCCTTGGGTTTCGAGCTGGGAAATGAAATGATTAGATTCACGTTCTTTTTTTAAAATTTTTTAAAATTTTACTTGAACCCCCTTTCAAGTAAAGATTTATGTTCAAGTAGATTTATTTAGAAGTCTTGCGGGCACCTGTAGGTAGTCTCTGCTACTCTGGAGGCTGAGGCTGGGAGTTCGAGGCTGCAGTGAACTGTAAGTGTGGCCGCGTATGAATAGCCCCTGCAGTACAGCCTGCGCCGCACAGCGAGACTCTGTCTCTAAAACAAAATAAAAATGAAAAAAATTGTAAAGGCAGCAGCGTATTGGATGCACCGTTCAGAGCAATGGCCGAGGGAAGGGGGGCGTTCACCCCAGCTTCCTCCCGTCCCGCGCCCCTGGTGCTTCGCCCCGCCCTCAGCCCGGAGCGGCGCGGCGCGAGCCACGGCGAGGCGGGAGGAGGCGCGGCGCAGCTGGGCGCTTCCGCGCGTGCGCGCGGCTGTCTCCTCGGCGCCCTCGCGCGGCGCGGGCGGCGCTCTTCGCGTGCCGAAAACCGGGCGCCGAGAGGCCGTCATCTGCCTTAGACCTGGGCCAGGTTGCCGCTTCCCACTGAGGATCTCTCCTAGATGCCTCCGCCTCACTCTTCCAAAAGGGGCAGGGTGGTGTAGAAGCCCCGCCGTGCGGGCTGAGCCGCGGCCCGCGTGGGCGGCCGCGCGGGTGGCCGACGCCAGCTGCGGGAAGTGGGAGGCGAAAGCCGGGCGGGCTGCGCAGCACCGGCTGGAAGATCCCCGCGGCGACGGCCCGAGACGGTGGCCGAGAGGCTGAGTGCAGCCCAGGCAGCCGCGCGGCGGATCGGGTGCACGCCTCAGAGGTACTGCCATTTACGGACAGAATCTTAGAATCTCGACTTTCTTCTGTTGTCCTTTGCTAAAAAGCCTGTGGCGTTCTCAGCAGCCTGTTGGGATCGTTACGAGCCTTGCAGTCGCCGGGCTCTGCTTTCAGCGCTCCTGAGCCATCTCATTTGGCCCTCACGGCCGCTCTGCGATGTGGCATTTTGAAATATGCCCACTTAACAGGGTAGAAACTGAGGACTAGAGAAGTTAAATAACTTGTCCCCTCCTTGCGCCCACCATGCACACACACACTCAGAGTAACTGCAGATCTGGAATTCAAATCTGAGTCTTTTTGACTCCAAAGCCAAAGCCAGCCTGAGGGGCTTGGCCACCATTGTTTCCCTCTAGTGGCCTATAATAAATTCTTCTCCCTTCTTTTCTAGTCCTTGAAAATCTTGGGATGTTGTCTTTAATTCCTCTAACTTCCTTCAACTTGCAAGAATACTGGTGACTGAAATCATTCTTGTTTCTTCACAAAGAATGTACAGAGATCCAAAAATGGCAAATAATTTGGTCAAGGTCACACTGGCAGTCAAGGTTAATGCTAAGATAGTGTTTCTCAAACTGAGATCTCTGGACTCCTGAGAACCCATAAATACCCTGTGAAAATTATTAAATTCCATGTTTTCGTTTCCTTGGTAATGTCTGAAAAGTATTATAAGCATAATTTTGGAGCATATGTAATTGATCCTGGACCTGCTTGTGAGTTGCCTGCATTTTGTGTTTGTGTTTACCTATTTATAGCTCTAATTGTCTTGGGTGCATTTGGACCAAGTAAAGGCCAGGAGACAAGAACTAACAAAGAATTTTTGGTAATTTGAATAGACATGAGAAGGGGAAGAACCGAATCATTACCGGGTGCACAGTGGAATATCTGTGCCAAATGTATAAGAATCTGCATGGGGCAGTACCTGTTCAGGTTGCCAGCAGCAACTTCATTTCAGGCAAACAACAGTCTTCATCATATTAAATCAATGTTAATTTCAAACTTGCCTTTCTACTTTTGTTTGTATTTATTGCTACTTTCTTTTGGTTTTATAACTGCTTAAGTTATAAGCATAAAGAATTCACAGTTAGCTGTGTTTGGGTGCATAATTTGCATATATTTAAATTTAAAAAGTAATTTAAGTCAAGTCCATGAAAATATTTTTCCTTCCAAAAAGATCCCTCTATTCATTATTCAAGTTCTAGCCCTCACAGCAGACCTAAACTAAACCTGGGCCTTTAGGAGTCTCCAATGAAAACCTGCAGTGATGGAATCCTGGTTAAGGCCAAGGCTCTCCGATCCTGAGAGATCCAGCGCAAGGAAGTTAGAACCTGGGGCACTCTGGGCTATATGAGTGGGGGAGGGGAGGAGTGATTCATTAAGGGAGGAGGCCATGGAGCAGACACCTAGGAGAAAATCCAAAGAAAATTTACATGATAAACTCAAGAATTGAAGTGAGAATGTTTAGAATTTTTCCCAAATAAATATACACAAATTGTTGAAGGAAATGGCAGTATCTATGAAAATATTAATTGTGGGCCAGGAGTGGTGGCTCACACCTGTAATCCTAGCACTCTGAGAGGCGGGCATTGTTTGAAACCAGCCTGAGCAAGAGTCAGGAGTTTGAAACCAGCCTGAGCAAGAGTGAGACCCTGTCTTTACTAAAAATAGAAAAGACATTAATTGGCCAAGTAAAAATATATAGAAAAAAATTAGCCTGGCATGGTGGTGCGTGCCTGTAGTCCCAGCTACTGGGGAGGCTGAGGCAGAAGAATTTCCTGAGCCAAGGAGTTTGACGTTGCTGTGAGCCAGGCTGACGCCATGGCACTCTAGCCCAGGCAACAAAGTGAGAGACTCTGTCTCAAAAAAAAAAAATGTTAATTGTGTATTTTCTTTTACCTAACAGTTCTACTAGTAGGAATTTATCTGACAGATTGATGTATTTGTACTGGTGTGCAAAGATGTGTACAACGATTTCTATTACCTTGTTTGAAATAGGAGAGAGAGAGAGACGGCTAGTTAAACTGAGACAAGGACTTGGATATAAGTAGTTTATTTGGGGTGGGGGAATCCCAGGAAGCACAAGTGAAGAGCTGGGAAGAGTGAGCCAGGGAAGGGAGAAGAGCCAATGAAGTATGTGCTAATGAGCAGGCTACTATTGGGGGCAATTGGGACTTAAAACTTTTGGAACCATCTAAGAAGCCATACAGAATGTTCCTCAAAACTTTCCCTTTCAGGGAATGGAGAAGTTGCATTGTTTGCCTACCAACTCTGTCCCTCATTGATAGGTGTGAGAGGAAACTTCCTCCCTGCCCCCACAAGGTTCGCTGAAAGATCAACTCACACTTAGGCAGATTACTAACAATAAGAGAAAGAGATTTATTTACCAGGTGCAGGGGGGAATCACAGCAATCACCCAATATTCCAGTGTGGTCCAGAAGTTTATATACCCTCATTTTAGTGGGGTGGGGAAGATGTGGAATATAGGTAATTCTGTTTAGGGGCAATAAATGGTTACTAGGGAGCATGAATAGGTACTTGGGAGAATGACTGGATGGGGGGGGGAACACATTGACTTCTAAATGATTCTCTTTGGAAAAATTAAATTTGCCTGAGATACAGGTATTATCTTTAAAATGAATTGGGCCAGGTCTGGTTGCACTTTTTTTTTTTCGAGACAGAGTTTTACTCTTGTCCAGGCACTAGAGTGCCATGGTGTCAGCCTAGCTCACAGCAACCTCAAACTCCTGGGCTCAAGCCATCCTCCTGCCTCAGCCTCCCAAGTAGCTGAGATTACAGGCATGTGCCACCATGTCCAGTGTTAGAGGCAAGGACCCTCAAAGACCCTCAACTCTCTTATGACTCGTCTTACGCACGGGCTTCGCCCTGGAAAATTCTAGCTATAGCTCTGAGAAGAATGCATTTCATGACGTGCTGACCACGGGATGCTCCAGGGAGTGCTGACTGCAATTGTTCCCGACCACCTGCCAGGTTGGAGATGAGTAATCAGTCACAAACAGGATACCGATAAGACGCTGCCCCACTCTATTTTTCTGTTTCTACTTCCTTGTTTCTGTATGCTTATAAACCTACAAAGAATCCAAGTAAAGTAGACCTTGACAACTCTTTGCTTGGTCTCGTTCCTTTCTCTTGCCCATCTCTTTCAGGCACGGTCCCCTTTGACCCCACAAGTAACAAAAGGTCCCGAGGGTCGGGACAAGTGGCGCCCAACGTGGGGCCCGAGGTACGGACTTTTGTCAGATGCACGCGGTTTACAGACAGTTCTCCGGAGAATCCCTAAAGAGACCTCCTTTCTGCCGCTCACAGAATCGACGGTCTGGTGAGTAGATTTTTTACATTGTCATCCCATCGAGATGGGCCATGGGCCATTCATTGTCTAAAGAGGCCATTTTTTTTTTTTTTTGAGACAGAGTCTCGCTTGTTGCCCAGGCTAGAAGTGAGTGCTGTGGCGTCAGCCTAGCTCACAGCAACCTCAAACTCCTGGCTCAAGCAATCTGCTGCCTCAGCCTCCCGAGTAGCTGGGACTACAGGCATCGCACCATGCCCAGCTAATTTTTTCTATATATATTAGTGGCCAATTAATTTCTTTCTATTATAGTAAAGCGGGTCTTGCCTCTGCTCAGGCTGGTTTCGAACTCCTGACCTTGAGCAATCCACCCGCCTCAGCCTCCCAAAGTGCTAGGATTACAGGCGTGAGCCACCACGCCCGGCTAAAGAGGCCATTTTTATCAAGGATCTCAAGGCCTCTCTCAGAGAGAGAAGGAATTAGAGTTAAGAAAAGGACCTAGTAAAGTTTTTGTGTTCATTGATTGTGGCTGTCCTTGTTTATTGTTAGTGGACCTGAAATCCCACCGCAAAGCAAAAGGTAGGCAAGATCTAAACAATTTTACTTCTAAATCAGGCCCAGATGCGTCCCTGTATCCGTTTTCTCGTACCTGGGGACTAATCAGAGATATGTTGAGGAGCAGATTCAGACCCAATAATAAAAGCAACTGCTCTCATAGCAAAATTCTGCCTCCGACCCGTGTCGCAGTCCGCTTCGAGAACGTCTTTACAGGCGACCGGAGGGTCGGCTTCCCCTAATGATCCTGAGAGACCAACATGCCCTTCCCCTTGCCTCCAGTTTGTATTAATATGCCCCTCAGGACCCCTCGCTGAGCTCCAGACCATCTAGAACAAGCCCCTGATTAGTAGGCCAGACACCAAGACCTATATCCTCCCTTAACCCGAGGTAACAGCCCCTCATGCATTCAATTACCCGGTGTTCAAGAAACAACCTCAATCAAGAGTCCTCGACCCCGCAGAAGAGGTCAACCCTCAAAGAAAGCACCCAATATCACGATCCCGAATGGCCTCCTCCTTACGCGCCCAAGATTTGCGCACCCTTCGTTAAGCTCCCCTTACAATGCCCTTACTTTGCGTGCCAAAAAAGACTTAAGTCAAGGTTACACAATTAAAAGATGTCTTACAAACTTCAAAAAGAATTGCCAGCTTTTCAAAGAACTTGTCCTCCCTCCAAGATACGCTTAAAGATTCTGTCTTCATTAACCACCCACGTTCAGAGACCCGCCAGTCATACGCCACCTTTCTGGAATTCTGCCGTTAGGGCGTATGGGCCCAATGCACCCTTTACCTACTCCCTTCTAGAGCAGCCTCAGGGGCGGCTACCTGCCTTCCCAGAGGAATGGCAAACTAAGTACAGGCGGTCCTTTCTCGCAGGTAGTTCCTCTCTTGGAAGGCCGACTTTCTCGACCGCTGTCAGACCACGGCTGCTAATAATTTAAAAAACCCCAATTCTGCATCTTAGACCCTTGAAAAGCTTAGCGGACAGGAGAAATTTGCTACTGAACAGCGCCAAAGGAGAATCCCAATTGGACTTTTGTCCCAGACCGCCGCAGCCGCCTTCAGCGCTTGGCGAACACTTCCCTCTACGGGATCTGTTCTTACTCCCCTGACAAAAATCACCCAGGGAGCTCAAGAGGGTTTTAGTAAATTTATGGGCAGGCTTTTAGAGTCTGCTAAACGAACCCTCAGACACGAAGATGAGAATAATAGGCTTATTAAACAATTGGCCTATGAAAATGCCAACAGCACTTGCAGGGCTATCCTCAGGGGTAAACCAAAAATAAAGACCTAAATGACATGATTAGAATGGTAATGATGTTGACCCCTTCGCCATAAGGTATCGCAGGCCGTGCAGCTTGCGGTTGGGGCGCCATCCAGGGACCGAGGCACAGAGGGACTACTTTAATGCGGTCAACCAGGGCACTTTGCGAGGCAGGTGCCCCCTAGCCGTCTCCTCTGCTGCCCTAACCTCAGTGGCCGCAGGCAGGCCTGCCCAGCCCCCTCCCCTTGTCCTCGCTGTAAGAGGGGAAAGCATTGGCCAGTCAATGCCGCTCCAAGACTGATGTCTTTAGAAACCCTTGCCCCCCTCTCGGGAAACGCCTGAGGGCCAGCCCGGGCCCCCGTCCTATTCAATTTCAGTTTGGCCTCGGAGAACAGCCGACAAGAGAGCCCCCAAAGACTCTAGACTCCTCCGAGCAACCACAGGGAGCGCAGGAGTGGACTTGTGTGCCTCCTCCGAAACAATATTAAGACCTGAGGATGGGTTCAGATTTTGCCCACTGGCTCCTTTGGAACCCCCCCCCGGCTAATATGTTCTTTTTTATTCTGGGCCGAGCCTCCTCCACTCTTGCAGGGCTCATAGTCCACCCCTCCATAGTAGATAATGACTTTACCAGAAAAATTAACATCTTAGCCAGTGCGCTTACCGGCCCTGTGTATGTCTCTAAGGGGACAGCGGCTTAGCTCAGGCATTACCCTTGCCCCTTAATACATCCTTCCCAGCCATTGCCGCTAACGAGGTGCTTCCTGCCCTGGCTCTTCTAATCTCTATTGGGTCCAAGCTATCACCAAAGAGCGGCCCACCCTGCAGCTAAAATTAGATGGTAAACTTTTTAAAGGCCTTCTTGATCCAGGTGCCGATTCCACGGTTATTGCCCAAGACGCCTGGCCCGATTCATGGCCACTGCAGCCTCCCTTAGGCACTTACAAGGTATAGGACAGTCTAGAGATACTCTCCAGAGCTCAAAAATTTGAATATGGAAACTCTGAGGGAAATAGAGGCACCACTCAACCCTTTATAGTCCCGATCCTACCTGTTAACTTATGGGGACGTGATATCCTTGCACAAATGAATGTCATTATGTGCAGCCAGCCAAATGCTTAAACAGAGATTCCTCCCAGGACAGGGTTTAGGCAAAGAGGGTCAGGGACTAAGAGCCACCCCTTAACCACCCTCCCTAAGTCAGACAAATCAGGACTAGGGTTCAAAGACCATTTTCGTAGGGGCCATTGATCCCCCTGCACTTCAGGCAGATAAAATCACTTAGAAAAGTGACTCACCTGTCTAGATCGATCAGTGGCCCCTCCCGTCTAACAAGCCAGCCGCAGCTACAGCGTTGGTGCAGGAACAATTAGCTGCCGACACTAAGAGCCCTCTACTTCACATAGAACACCCCCATTTTCGTCATTCAAAAAAGACTGGCAAGTGCGGCTGCTACAAAGACTTCACGGGGCCTGTTAACCAAACAATGATTCCCATGGGGCACTCCCAGCCTTGGTTTGCCTTCGC